CCATGTATGTGAGAATGTTCATTTGCTCCCACAGTCACCAGCATCAGGCATTGTTCTATTTAATCTTGCAGTGCATCAGAGAAGTCAGTTTTACAGCCATTTAAGGAAGCCTCTGGCGGCTAAACTACGTTTTAATCCAAGGCGAAGTCAGCCCTGCAGTCTGGTTTTGGAACAAAATGAGAGGCGATGCGGTTCACTGCTGCTGTCACTAGAGGGAGCACATGATCCACTGCAGGCAGTGTTGTCCAGTCACTAAGTAGGGTCTGACTCTTTGGGGTTCCATGGTCTGCAGCACTCCAGGCTTCCCTGTCCTTCACTATCTCCCCGGGTTTGCTCAGGCTCATGTCCACTCAGTTGGTGATGCCATCCAACCATCTCACCCTCTGTTGTCACCCCCTTCTCCTTCTGCCCAGCATCAGGGTCTTCTCCAATGGTCAGCTCTTCACAACCGGTGGCCAAAGGAATCAGAGCTTCAGCTTCAGCATCAGTCTTTACAATGAATATTCAGGGTTGATTTCCTTTAGGATGGACTGGTTTAATCTCTTTGCTGTCCAAAAGACTTTCAAGAGTCTTCTCCAGCACCACAATTCCAAAGCAGCAATTATGTGGCACTCAGCCTTCTTTATGGTCCAACTCTCACATATGTACATGACTACTGGAAAAACCATAGCTTTGAGTATAGGGACCTTTAACAGCAAAGTGATGTCTCTGCTTTTTAATATACTGTCTAGGTTTGTCATAGCTTTTCTTCCAAGGAGCGTCTTTTAATTTCACGGCTGCAGTCACCATCTGCAGTGATTTTGGAGCCCAAGAAGAAAAAATCTGTCACTGTTTCCACTGTTTCCCCACCTATTTGCCATGACGTGATGGGACCAGATGCCATGATCATAGTTTTTTGATTGTTGAGTTTTTAAAGTCAGCTTTTTCACTCTCCTCTTTCGCCCTCATCAAGAGGCTCTTTAGTTCCTCTTTGCTTTCTGCCATTAGAGTGATATCATCTGTATCTCTGAGGTTGTTGATACTTCTCCAGGCTGATGCTTGTGATTCCTCCAGCCTGGCATTTCACATGATGTACTCTACATATAAGTTCAATAAGCAAGATGACAACATACAGTCTTGATGTAGATCTTTTCCCAATGTTTTCCCAATTTTGAACCAGTCCATTGTTCTGTGTTCAGTTCTAATTGTTGCTTCTTGACCTGCATACAGGTTTCTCAGGAGACAGGTAAGGTGGTCTGGTATTCCCATCTCTTTAAGAATTTACCAATGTGGTAAATTGGTAAATGCGGTAAATATGACTGCAGTCACATTTACCAGTTAAGTACCTCTGACCACCGAAGAGAGTTCTAAGTTCTGCTCGGGGACACAGAAGACAGTGGTTCTTGTTAATCACCTACCACAGCCCCTACAGACGATATGCTTAAAAATAGTAAGGTCACTAAGGGGCAAAGAATCTGTCAGCAACCACAGCCCATGGACTCAGCAATAAATATGCAGGCATTTACCCGTGGAAAGATGCTCAGCCTCACTGGGAAGAAAGGGACACAGGAGAAAGACAAGGCACCTCTATCTTTCCATGACTGACACACATTTCAGAGACTGCTGATGCTTCAGGACATTGTCATCGGCAGCCTCCTCTGCCTGGAATGGTCTTTCTCCTCTGGGTATTCACAAAAGTTGCTCCCTCACTTCCTTTAAATCTTTATGGAAATGTTTCCTTCTCAATAAAGGTCTACCCTGACTCCCCTGATCTAAAAATTCTCCCCCTCACCCTTCCTCTCACCCTAGTGTTTCTGAACCTCCTTACCTTAGCTGTTCTAATTTTTTTAGTAATTATCTTTTTGTACCACCAACTTTTCTTACCAACTAGCCTGGGACCTTCCCAGTGTTAGCACTAAAGTTCGGCATTGTGGGCAACCTGGACAGTTGGCCACCCTGGGTTTAGTGCTTACTGTTTATCATCTGTCTCCCACAGAATGGATGCCCCAGGAGGGTGGTGCCTTGCTTCCTGTCTTGGTGACTGATGTATCCCAAGCACACAGAACAGGGCCTGGCAGACAGCTGGCTATAAATACTTGAATGAAGGGACCAGATCCTAGTGGTGGGGATCCAAATAAGGAGAGCCCTGCCAAGGGCTACTTGGCAGAACTTCAGACACTCGTGCTCTTTGAGCCTGCAATTCCACTTCTAGGAACTTCCCCTTCAGGAAAGCTCACAGCTTTGCCCAAGGATGCTCACTGCAGCTCCTAACCACACACTAGACCAGCATAAACACCCATTAGCTACAGAATGCTAGAAACTCCCAGGTTCTTACGGAGGACCGCATTGCGCACTGCTGAGGAAGGGTGTGTGGGAATGTAAACGTGCAAGTAGTGTGGGGAGGAAGACACCAGATATTCACAGCAGGTACGTGAGGGGTCGTGAATGGGAATGTGAGAGGGGAAGGAGGGCTAGGGCTGTGCATCCTCCTTTCACTGCAGTCACTGTGAATTTCCCTCCAAACATGCATTTCTTCCATGACTTAATACATATGAACAGAAGAAATGAAGGTTCATTTCTAAAGCTAGAAATTTGAGTTTCACTAAGCAAAAGTTAAGTTTCTGGGCTTCCAGCACTTAGCAAAGGAAGGACACCCCTCTCCCAGCCCATCTCCTGCCCATCCACCTCCCAAACTAACTCAAAAGGCCCCATCACTAGGCCACCTCCTGAGTCCTTCTCAGATCTGCCCACTTTTCTCCCACCATGGCTATGGCCACCACCCTAGCCCAAGCCACAACCAACTTCCTGTTGAAGTTTCTGCTTCCACTCTGGGCCCTCCAATCAAGTCTTTAACCAGCAGCCTTGAGCTAGAATTACAACAAATCCATTCCCGTCTCCAGGTCAGAATGCCTCATTGGCTCCCTAGGGCCCTATCGACCATGCCCACTTCTCCCAACTCAGAACATTCTCCAGTCAGACCTTTCTTTCCCCACTCCTCTGCCTTTCTCTCAGTTCCTCCCATCTCAGGGTTTTCAAAAAATTTTTTTTAGAAAATAACAGCTTTATTGAGATATAACTCACACACCATACACAAAACTTACCAATTTAAAGTGTTTTGGTATACTCACAGAGTCACACATCTATGCCATCACCACAGTCAAGTTTAGAGTATTTTCATTGCCCCCAAATCTACCCATTAGACATCACTTTACCATCCCCCAGCCCTAGACAAACACTCATCTACTTTCTGTATGCATGGATTCAACTGTTCTGGACATTACATATAAATGGAATCATACAAATGCAGTCCTTTGTAACTGGCTTCTTTCCCTTAGCATAGCATTTTGAAGGTTTGTCCATTCTTTAGTAGGTAACAGTACTTCATTCCTTTCTATGGCTGTATTGATCTGACATTGTAAGTATACACCACATTTAGTTTATCCATTCACCAGGTGTTGAATATGTTGGTTATTTCCATCTTTTGGGTATTACAAACAATGTGATATGCATTATCTGCAAAGCTATGAATATCTGTGTATGACTTTCTGTGTAGACATGTTTCTATTTCTCTGGGATATGTACCTAGCTGTGGAATTGCTGGGTCATATGGTAACTCTAGGTTTAACCCTTTGATGAATAGCCATACTGTTTGCCAAAGCAGCTACACCATTTTTCATTCCCACCAGCTGTGTGAGGGTTCCAATTTTTCCACATCCTTCCCAACACCTATTATCTCACTTTTTGATTACAGCCACCCAGGTGGTGTGAGATGGTATCTCATTGTTTGTTTTGATTCTCATTTCCTTGATGGCTGATGACACTAAGCCTCTTGTCATGTGCTTATTGGCCATTTATATATCTTTGACCACCAGCACCATTTCTTTTCAGGATTATTCCAACAGCCCCCTCTCTGGCCTCCCTGCCTCTGCCCACATCCCCATGAGCATCCCCGTTCATCCTCTTCTCCACCCAGCAGTCATAGTGAGACCACAGCAGTCCTCTGCTCAAAATCTGGCAGTGGCTCCCCATTCCCTCAGAGACAAGACCACAGTCCTAATCATGGCCTTCAAGGTCCTGCATGATACCCCCTTCCCAACTCCATCCATATACATTTCTCTGACCTCATCTCCCCATACTCTCTCCTTGCCCACTCTGTTCCAACCACACTGGCCTCCATGCAGTTCCGCAAATGTGCTAGGCCTCTGCTCCAGCTGTTTCAACTGCCCAAATACACCTTCCTGATAAGCACATAGCTCATTTCCTCCCTTCCTTCAAACTTGTGTTCACATGACACCTGAGTGGTGAGGTTTCCCTGGCCATCTGCCTATAAATTCATTCCAGCTGGCATCCCACAATCTGGCACCCCGACCCGAACCCCTCCCCCCTTGCTCTACTTTTCTCTTTTTCCACAGCACTCACTCCCTTCTAACCTAAATAAATATTTTATTTATTACATTTTGCTTCTGTGTCTATTTTCCCTTACCACAGGAAACCCCCAAAAAGGCAAAGATCATGTAAAGTTCTTAGCAGAGATGGGGCCTGTTGGAATTTCAGGAGTCAATAAAGGCAGCCTCCCTGAGGACCGACCCCAGTCACTACCTGTTTCTATCAACAAAGGCTGACTGGGACACAGCCACCCCCTTCATCTGCACATCCACTTGGCTGCTCAGGCTAGGGCAGCATAAAGGAGTCAGTTGGGACAGAGATGTGTGGCCTGCAGAATCAAAAACCTGTACTGAGAAGGCTCGCTGAGCCCAATTTTAAGGCTGTGGGCGATTCCTTCCTTCTCCCTCAGGGCCTGTCCACGTCAGGGATCCGCAGCACATCTCCCACCTGCCCTGCCATCTACGTGCTAGCCTGCCTGTCTGCTCCCGCCCACGGCCTATCAAAGCCTCCAACTGCTCCCCAGGACCTGAACGCTTCAACAGGCCACCCACTCAGCCTCACCGGCTTCCCGGTGGCGCCCCAAACACAACACATATGATCCCCTCGCCTCGCCTTTTCTGAAGTGCTTTTCCCATATGGAGCCCAGGCAATTCTTCCTCCGACAGGTCAGTGAGAAGCCCCAGCCCTCTCTCCTTGCACCCTGGGCCCTGACTGATCCGATCTGTCTTTATCACTCGCTGACATGATAGGATATACTTACTTGTTTACTGTCTGGCTTCCCCAGGACATTGTCAGCGGCCTGAACACAGGGCTTTTGTCTCTTACTCTCAGCTGTATCCCCAAAGCATCCTGCCTGCCACAGGGCTGTTGCTGGTTAGTCACTAAGTCTTGTCCAACTCTCTGCAACCCCATGGACCGGAGCTCGCCAGGCTCCCCTACCCATAGGATTCTCCAAACAAGAATACTGGAGTGAACAGCCATTTCCTTCTCCAACTGATCTTCCTAACCCAGGGATTGAAGGGGAGTCTCTTGCAATGACAGGCAGGTTCTTTACCACTGAGTCACAAAAAAGGTGCTCAAAAAAACCAAAGCACACTGAATAACTGCCAGTGTCCAGAGAGGAACCTCATAACATCCACCTGACCTGGTTGTTTCGAGGTTTCAATGAAATCAGACATGCAAATAAACTACAAAGTGCCCCGGCCAGCAAGCATGAATCAGTAACCATCACTCTCAGGAACACCATCAGTCTGTCGGGTGGACTCCGCAGCTACAGATCAGTCTGACCACCAACTCCGCCTCGTCCCAAGTGGGGGGCCCTAGGCAAGTCACTAGAACCCCTCTTCCGTCAGAGTCCTTTCGTGTTAGTTGGGCCGGACTTAAAGTGAGGCGTGGGAGGCGCCCGAGTACGGTCAACCCGCCACATACTAGTTCTGGCTAGGGCGGTGGGTGTCTCTGCACGTTTCTGCCCCAGTTCCAGAAGCTAGGGCCCCACTTGGGGTCTTGTCGGGACCCTCTCTAGAGGATCTGAGAGGCCTAAGCGGAGGCGCTGCGGCCACACAGTAGCTGAGGAGGCAGGTCAACTCCCGGGGGTCCTGCTCTCAGAGCGATGACACATGGCCGCCCGGGGCGTGCCGGGCCGGGTCTCCAGACAGGGAAAGGGAGTCCTGAAGAGGCCTGGCTGGCGGAAAAACGGGGTCAGTCACAGGCAAGTCCCGGCCCTCAGCAAGGCCTGAAAGCTCTTCCTTCTTTATCAGTCACCGTCCTCACAGGAGACTGAGGCCTGGCCAAGGCCAGAGGTCACACATTGGAGGGCCAGGCTTCTAAGCCTTCAGCGCCGGGGTGACTGGTCTTGGAACCTCCCCTACACAGCACGCAGGTCACACGTCATTCCCTCCACAAAATGGCGCCTCAAAGAAAAACGTACAGCGACCGCTAGCGCCCACCCCCACGACGGGCTGAGGAAGGGGCGCGAAAGTCCGTGAACTAATTTGCATACACAAAACCAACGAAATTCATTGGCTGTGAGAGCCTACGTCCGCGCTAGGCAGAGCTCCCATTGGTCACTCTCCTTTTCTCCTCCCCTCTGGTACCGCCGTCTACGTCAAGGATTGGCCCGCGCGTGTCTCGTGACGCCACTCCAAGACTGCGCGTCCCTGTTGGTCGGCGTGCCGTCTATCATCCTTTTAAACCCCGCGAGTCCCGCCTCCTTTCGCCCCGCCCAGGCTCCACGGCCGACCGTTAGTCGCGTGCGCGATTTCTGGGCGTCAGGGCGCGCGCGTACGCAGGCGTCTCATTCAAACGGCCCAATCAGCGTCCGCGTCGTCCTTTACGTCCTCTTCCTTTCTGCTTCCCCCTTCTCCACCGCTCCATTCTCCCTGATCCCCTCCCGGACCCCCACGCTCCCCGACTGGCCGGCCCGCCGCACGCCCCCTCTCCAACTTCTGCCCGCAGTTTGCTGGAAGGGAGCGAGCCCGTCGAACGCCGAGGGCCGTGCGCGCTGACGTCACGGGTCGAGGCGCCGCGAGAGGGGCCCGTGAGGGGGCGTGGCCTGTAGGCGGATATAAAAGGGTAGCCGTGCGCGCGCGGCCGGCTTACTGCGGCCGGTCACTGGGGTGGGTGGAGCTGCTGTGCGGTTCGCGGCGGACGTCGGAGGCACCGAGCAGCAGAGCGGGGCCGCCGGGGCCTCGCTAGGGCCGCAGCGACAGCAGTAGGGCCCCCCGCCCCGGCAGGCGGCCGGAGAGCGCGGGAAGGGGGCCGGGGGGACCCGCCCCCGGCCGGCTGCAGTCATGGTGAGTGCGGCGCCCAGGCCCGGGAAGGGTGAGCGAGGTACCCCCCCCGTAGAGGAAGAGGCGTGGTTTCAGGACCCTCTCGCGGGCGGCTTGAGGGGTTGGAAAGCCCACCTGGACGTCCGAGGCCTGAGTTGGGCCCAGGGGCCTTCCTGTAGGCTGGGCGGGAGGGGAAGGCCCGGCCGAGTCCTGGGGAGAGCTCCGGCCTTTTGGGCAGGCCTGTGGTGTTCTGGGAACGACGACATTCCGCGGCCGTCTCCAGGACCGATCTGGGGTTTCCAGGGTGATCTTATCAAGATTAGGTGGGGGAAAGGGTCCAAGGTAGGCCTGGGGCCTACCCAGAATCATTGGGGAGCCTGTACGGAGCTACGAACGGGCTTCGGGGGTTTCTGGGGGAGGTGGAGTCTTCCGCAGGAGCTCGGAGATACGCCCCATTTCTAGTGGATTAGCCTGGGACCGTCGCCTGAAGTTTCCTGGGTTGGGGTTTCCGGGAGTTCGGGGTGATTTAATTGACAGTCCGGGACTCCACGGACTCCTAGATCCTGTAGGAGGCTCCAGGCCCTGGCTTTGCCCGTGGCTCACCCGCTTGTCTCCATACCTAGAACTCCAACGTGGAGAACCTGCCCCCCCACATCATCCGCCTGGTGTACAAGGAGGTGACGACGCTGACCGCTGACCCACCTGACGGCATCAAAGTCTTTCCCAACGAGGAGGACCTTACCGACCTGCAGGTCACCATTGAGGGCCCTGGTGAGTGTGGGAACGACAGGGAGGGGTGCGCTTCCTAGATCTTAGTCACCCTAGAGCCAGGATAGGAGGCTCCCACTCTAAGTAGATTGCCAGACCTTGGGGACTCAAGGGTGGGCAGGACAGGCACACCTGTTACATGTGGTGTTCCTGGTGTGCAGAGCTGGACACTAGGAGTGACAAATAATTATGTACTCTCTCCCTATTAAATGTTGGTGAGAAAAATCTCTGGGGGCCAAGAGAGCATGTAATGGGCCCTTAGCTTGGGTCTGGGTGTTTCCTCCGTTCTCAAGTTGGGTAGGAGTTACGTGGAATTGGGGAGGAGGATGCCAGGTGGGGAGAAGTGTCAGCAAAGGCCGGAGGACGGGGTGGACCATCTCAGATTCCTTCCTGTCGGCAGTGTCTGGGGCTATGGGGACCAAGCAGAGAATAAGCCAGATTTGGGCTTGGGGGAGATAATAAGCAAACCACTACAGGCGATGGTTTGGTCTTGTAGGTTGGTTTAGTGTGTCACTTCGCGTGCACTCCGTTTAGGTTATTGAATTTTTACGATTTAAATGAAGAGTATGTAGTGAAAGATCTAGTCTGGAGTTGGGTTTGTGGGCAGAGGGTCAGGGAAGGCTTCCTGAGATGGTCACTAGGTGATTCACCCCATGCTGATGCAGGCTCGGCGGGAGGTGAGGATCCCAAAAGGCCTTTGGCAGTCTTGTGGTGTATTAGATACTTTATTATGAGAACAGAAGAAAAAGGACTGGCAAAACTTACAGGAAACAGATCTTTTAAGGTCTGTAGGTCTCTTCCAGGATTTTAGAAAGGAAGCCCTTGGTGTGTTTAAAGCAGGACTTCACTGTGACTTTGGTGGGGGTTTGGGTGGGGTTGCAAGCTGGAGGCTGGCATCCATCAGGTGAGAGAAGTGGTTCTGCTGGACTTGGAGAGGGGCTCAGATTTACGGGGGAAAATGGATGGGTTGGACATGGAGGCTGAAGCACCAGGAACAGCCTTGGGTCTGAAATGGCTCCCACAGGTTTTTGACCTATCAGGAGAGTGAATGAGAGGGCTGTTTGCTGCAGCGGGGAGACCATGGAGTGGACAGAGCTGTCCTGACTCTTGCCTGAGAGACTTCCAAACAGATGTTTTTCCGGAGGACTGAGTGGCATATATGTCTGTGCCACTTGGGAATGGTGTGCAGTGGCTTCAGTGGGGAGTGAGGAGGTCTCCGTGTGTGGGGACCACCAGTCGGGTTAGCTCTGAGCTGGGGGGAGGGGTGGTGCCTGCAGCCCCCTGGGAACCTAGCCCTATCCTCTCAAGAGCTCCCAGTCTGGGGAAAGAAGCAAGGGTACTTGCCTCACTGTCAGACCGGGGAGGCTGGGCTTTGGGGTTTTGGGGGGTGCCGGGAAGACCTGAGCCTCCTGATATGTCCCTTCCCTGCATGAGCCTCCTGATATGTCCCTTCCTTGCATTCCAGAGGGGACCCCGTACGCTGGAGGCCTCTTCCGCATGAAACTCCTTCTGGGGAAGGACTTTCCGGCCTCCCCGCCCAAGGGCTACTTCCTGACCAAGATCTTCCACCCGAATGTGGGCGCCAACGGCGAGATCTGTGTCAACGTGCTCAAGAGGGACTGGACCGCTGAGCTGGGCATCCGGCACGTGCTTCTGGTGGGTTCTGCTCCTGGCCAGCCCAGTCATGTCCAAGCCACAGAGCCTTGTTCACCTTTAAAATAATCAGTGCTGAAGTGGTGGGGGCCTCCACGTGAGAGTCCAAGTCTCCAGCTTTTCTAGAAGGGTAGGCAGCGCCCAGGGAGCTCTGCCACGGGGCGGGTGAGGGGTTTGTGTGGGGACAGTTTTCTGGCAGGCGAGGGCCTAGCGTCTGGTTGGAGAGCCTTTCCGACACCGAACAGCTAGTGCAACCATCAGCACTGTAATTTCGCTGCTTCTCACCCAGGAGTGGCTCCGTGCCCCCGGGCCGTCTTTAATTGTCCCAGCTGGGGTGCTCCACCCCTAGTGGGTTGACGCTGGGGAGCTGCTGCACCTTGGAGAGCCATGCCTGCCCCCCCCAGGTGGGGCCCCAGGGTGCCCCTTAGAGCATGGAGGTCACCTGGTGCCTTTCCCCACCTGCCTCACAAGGTAAAACTTTTTTTAAAAACCTTAATTTCTTACAAGTCCCTGGGGCAGACGGTTGGAAGGACAGGGAGTTGGGGGTTTCCTGCAGGGCACGCGGAGGGTTGCGCACCGGGGTAAACGGACCCCAGACCTGTCCCTCCTCTCCCTGGAGTGTTGGTAGCGGTCGCCAGGGAGACTGCGGGTGAGCTCACTGAGTAACCCGCATGCCCGCAGAGTGGTGAGTGTGGTCTGCCGGGCCAGCGCCTGGGCTCCCCCGTCCGGGCCTGGGCACCGATGGCAGGGCAGTGTGGGGTCTGAGAGGCTTGGAGCCGGGATCCTGACCCCAGCTCTCTCCCCACAGACCATCAAGTGCCTGCTGATCCACCCCAACCCGGAGTCGGCCCTCAACGAGGAGGCGGGCCGCCTGCTGCTGGAGAACTACGAGGAATACGCGGCCCGCGCGCGCCTGCTCACCGAGATACACGGAGGCGCCGGTGGGCCCAGCGGCGGGAGGCCCGAGCCTGGCCACGCCGCAGCCAGCGGGGCAGCGGCCTCCAGTGCTGACCCCACAGCCCCGGGGGGTCCAGCGGGGGCTGAGGGGCCCATGGCCAAGAAGCACGCGGGCGAGCGCGACAAGAAGCTGGCAGCCAAGAAAAAGACGGACAAGAAGCGGGCGCTGCGGCGCCTGTAGTGGGCTCTCCCCTCCCTTCCCACCTGACCCGACTCTGTCTCTAAGTTATTTAAATTATGGCTGGGGTGGGGGAGGGCACTGGGACCTGGATTTGTTTTTCTAAATAAAGTTGGAAAAGCAGCTCTGTGCCTCCACCACCTGGGCTGTGAGCAGCGGGCGCCCCACCCTGTCTGGGGTGCAGTGGTTGGTGGGGGCCTGGTTCTGATTGCTCCCGCCCTTGTCCTGAAATGGGCACAGTGGACTGGTAGGGTCTGCCCAGGCGGCGGGTGCGGGCCCAATGTGTCTGCCCTACCCTGGGTTCTTGGTCCAACTCTGGCCGCAGAGCATGCTCCTGGGGGCCTCTGACTCCTCCCAGGCTTCCTGACACCAGTCTCGTGGTGGGTGGGTCTCTGCTCAGGTCTCAGGTTGAAGCTGACAGGGCCCGCTCCTTTCTCGGGTCCTCTCCAGGCTTCAGTTCCTGGGTTGGAGGGTCTGGGGCCATCCTCAGCTGGAAGCTGCTAGGGTCCTCGCCCCATGCCCCCACTTTTGTGGCTGACCTGGTCCTCTGGCAGGGCCTAGTTGATTAGATGCAGCTGTTTGATGAGCCCTGGGGGAGAATTTGACTGCAGGAGCTGGTCCCAGTGGGAAGGGGGTGGGTCTGGGGCGTGGCCCTCCTCCCTGCCCAGTTTCTTCATCTGCAGGGAGGCAGAAGCAGTCACTGCACCTGGTGGGCAGCTGTGGAGGGTCAGGGTGAGGCCACAAAGCCTGGAGAAGTGGAGGGACAGCAGGGAACCACTGGCTTGGCAGAAATCCCTGGAGGCCCACAGGGGGACGCCATAAGGTTCTGTGGGGCCTCAGGATGCATCAGAAGTGATCAAAAAGTACAAAGAGAAACGAAGGCCTGTCAAGAGACTGGTGTGCAAACTCACAGTTGCTGCTTTCATAATCAGACTGGAAATAGACGTGTTCATCAACAGATGAGTGAAGGAGCTGTGCAGTCACTCGGCAGACTACTACTTAGGTACACAAAATGCTGAGTGAAGCCACATACAAGAGTACAAATAGCAAAGTTCCACTTCTGTGAAATTCTAGATGACAGCCAAAAGCAGATCCCTGGCCCGCTGGGATCAGGGAGGATCAAGTACACAGAGCCTTGGTGATGAGCACGTTCCAGATCTCAGTTACAGTGGGGCTCATGTGGCTGCATAATTATGTGCACGTGTGTATTTAAAATCAGTGTATTGTACTTTGTAAAGCAGATCTCAGAATTTGATGTAATTTTTTAAGCCAAGGAATTCTGTCCAGTGGGAAAGGTGATAGTTAAGACATACAACTGAAAGAACAAATCTCAATGTGTGAAGAGTTCATACAGATCAGTAAAAATGAGAAAGCAAAAGCTCTTGCACAAACACTTCACAAAAGGGGGAATCCCAGCGACTACCAGGCAAACATGAAGATTCCCATCATCACGAGTGATGGGAAAGGTACAGCAGAAGCCCGAGCTGACCCCACTAGACCTGGCAATGCCAAGTGCAGAGCCACGGATGGTCTCCCAGTCCACGGTGCGCCCTTGGCAGGAGCGGGAAGTGAAAGTCACGTGGAGACGCAGTGGAAAGGCTGAAAGCAGAGTATGTCATTACTCGGCATTCTTGCACACATACCACGAGCTGCAAAGCCACATTTGTCCTAAGTTGCAAGCAGTATAAACATGCCTGTATACAGTTGAGGAGTGATACAACACAACACAAGAGTGGTGGGCCATCACTCCCAGCAGCGTGGAAAAGCCTGCCATCAGCCAATCAAGCAAGTTTCAGGAGACCCACAGTCCGAACGCCATGGCATGCAGTTCCAGAACCATCAAAACCAAGCTCTGCTGCTAAACACACATACTTTGGTGGTCACGCTGTTTGAGAGCAAGACTGCTTCCCTAAGGCTCAGGATACTGGCTACCCCTAACCAGCAAGGAACCCAGGAGCAAAACATATAAATGTGTAAATGTGTGCTTTTCTGTGCATCTGCTGTATTTCAGAATTTTAAGAACATGAAGGGAGGGAGGTTGGAGGGGGTTTCTGGATGGGGAACACATGTGCACCCATGGCTGATTCATATCAATGTATGGCAAAAACCACTATGATATTGTACAGTAATTAGCCTCCAATTAAAATAATTAAAAAAAAAAGACAAACCACACACACAAAGAACATGAAGAAGCACATGAGAGATCCAGAACATATTATGTAAGAAAGAGCAACATGCCAACACTGTATAAGATATGCTACCATTTCTTTTTAAACTTTGGCCAGAAGGTGACATTAGCATCTGCAAACGCTGTCCCAAGAAAGAAGAGCCTGGAATACTGTGTGCATGGCACCCATTCAGAATGCAACGTCTTGACTTTAAAAAAAATTTTAAGATAATGAAGTTTCACTAGAATGTCTCCCTCAAACTCCCATCTCCCCAACACCCAACTCCCAACTCCCTAGTGAGGGACAACCAGTGTCAGTGGGTTCTCTTGTATTTTTCTGAGGAAATTCTATGGGAACGCAACCACATTTAAGCATGTTGTTTAGTCACTAATTCATGTCCGACTCTGTGACGCCATGGACTGTAGCCCACCAGACTCTTCCGTCCATGGGATTCTCCAGGCAAGAATACCAGAGTGGGTTGCCATTTCCTTCTCCAGGGGATCTTCCTGATCCAGGAATCAAAGCCACATCTCCTGCATTGGTAGGTGGGTTCTTTACTACTGAGTCACCAAGAAAGCCCCCCAAATTTAAGCATATGTTCTATTATTTATATTTTTTGGCCATACCACACAGCTTATGGATCTTAGCTATGGATCTCGGCCAGAGATTGAACCTGTGCCCTTGGCAGTGAAAGCGCAGAGTCCTCACCACTGGAGCAGCAGGGGAAGTCCCCAACACCTGTGCTCTTACATCCACCGTCTCATTAGTGTATACCTGGCAGCCACCTGCACACGGCGTGTCACTCCTGGGCTTTTTGACTAAGAATGTCTGGCTGGCTGTGCTGTAGCACATGCCCTCAGTTGCGCCCCAACGTATGGCAAAAAAACCAGCAACACTGGAAGGAATGACCTCGGTGCATGGAGCCCGGGGCACACAAGAGTCTGCAGAGTCACCCTTCTCTGTGACACTCCTGTGCCATAGGGTACATCTGTGTGGAACTGTACACATACTGCCAAGTTGTTCCCCGTGGGTTTGTACCGCTGGACACCGCCAGCAACCTGTGTCCACCCCCACCCCACCCCCGCCCATGTGCTCACCAGCACTCTGATTTTTATCCAACTTGGGTTTTTCTCAAACTGAGAGGCAAACACTTAGTCATCTTTAATAGACTTCTTTTAACAAGAGTTTTGGATTTACACAGAAATTGTGACCACAGTACAGGGTACCTCCTGGCTGTGTCTCCTCCGTAAATGCAAAGTTGCTGAAACCAATGTGCTGGTTTGGCTGTGAGAGCCTGGCCAAGGGGCATGAGGACTTCCCTGGCTCTCCAGCGGTGAGGATCCCGTGCTTCTACAGGGGGCATATGTTTGATATACGTCAGGGAACGAAGATCCCACACGCCATGTGGCATGGTTGTATCCCCAACTGGAATCCTGGGCTCCTCGCAAGTCTCCAAACCACATGCACATGTTATTTCCTTAACAGAAGACTTCACAGAATAGGTTTTATTCCAGCAGATGACTACAAGACTAACAAAGGTAAATTTTTAAAATTCCTGGGCAGGGCAGAGACAGCCTGGAGGAAACGCGGCAGAAGGCACAAGGGTATTCACATAACTTACGAAGACGAGCCGCAGGCATTATTACCATGTGGATTTGTCCTCAAAGTGCTCTGAAAAACCTGAGCATTGTATGCAAACAGTTGTAGACATGGAAAGACATTAGTGTCCGTTCTGAGTCCATCTGCTCAAGATAAATTACACCCATTCATACATGCAAGGGAGATCTGTGGACTTGTCCCAGCAAGCCATGTTACAAGCTCTTTGCACATTTAACCTCAACAACCCTAGCAAGTAAGGTGTACTGAAGTGCACAAGGCAGAGAGGTCAAGGAACCAACCCAAGGCCGCACAGCCAAGAAATGGTGGAGCCCTGAGGTAACCGTGCAGATGGAAATTCAATCAAGGAGCAGGTTTCCACTGCTGAGTGACCCTGTGCGGGGCAGCTGCCAAGGGTGTGCCCTACACTCAACTCTGCAAACATTGCCTAGATTACCACTGGACATGACGCAGCACACAGAACCAAGATCTCTGCTTCTCAGAGCCCCAGGCAATCAGACACGAAAGGAACTCGTTTCTTGTACAGGGAAACCAAGGCCCAGAGAGGCTAGTGCCACAAGCGTAGGAACTGGCAGTTCTGGAACCGGCACTCAGGCAGTTTGGCCACTGGTGCAGAGAAGGGTGGTTTTTTTTTGCGGGGGGGGGGGTGGTGGCACTGGGTGGCATCTCTGGACACCTGCCCATCTTCCACTCCCCCCACCCTGGCCCTACGGTCCCCGTTGAGAAGTCAGCATTCAGTCTGGCCCTCCCTCATGAGCTGCTTTTCAGATTTTCCCTTTGCCACGGCGTCCAGCATTTTTGCCAGGATGTGTATCTGCCCAGCTGGACTGTACGTGTGCCGAGCGCCCAGAGCAGCAGGGATCCGGGGCAGACAAGGAGACCACCACATCTGACCACCAGCTACCACACAGCACAGCGCCCAGGGCTGCGTGCCTCTGGTCTGCTGGGCTCCGGTGACTCACCAGCAGATGGTACGCTCACTGGGGTGGGTGTGCCCAGGTCCCAGGCTGTGTGGGCAAGCACCTCCCAGCAAACAGCGAGGCTCGGGGAGAGGTGGAGGCGGGCACCGGCCACAGCCAGCCTCTCCATGGAGTGGGACAGGAACCATGGCAGAGCTCTCAGCAGGTGTTAAGTCACCAAAACTACAGACACCTCCCCACCAGAATTGAGAACAGACCTGGGGAGGGCAAAGGTGGTTGGTCCTGGGGAGGAAGCTCTGGCAGGAAGGGTTCCTGACCACGTCCGCTGACTGAGGAAGGCCGGAGCTCCTGACCCCAGCACAGAGCTGGGGGTGGGGGTGGGGGGTGGGGGGCAGGGGCCTCACGTTGGCAGGATGGGTGGCACAGATCAGGAGCCATGACATGCGTAACCTTTACTCATCTGAGCCTCACTTTCTACATCTATAATGTGGGGATAACGTCCGCTTCATGGGGTGTCTGGAAGACAGCCACTGCAGAAGTATGTGCTTACATGTACATATGTACACACACATATACAGGCTACAGGTCGATCTCGTTACCAACAGCTAATTACCACACTTACCATGTGTAGGCTGTCCTCCGGGCCTTCATTAACCTCCTTAATCCTAAGAGGCACAGAGAGGGGAACTCACTTGCCCAAGACCACACAGCTAGACACTAAGCTAGAAGTCAGGTAGACACCCAGCAGCGGTGCCTACATCCTGGTTTTAACAGACACCAGGAAGCCAGCAGCAGAACTGACTTCAGACCCAGCCAAGAGACCCTGGGGAGATAGCTGTGCACCTGGGCAAGGGCTGGAGGGAGGCTCTGCCGCAGACTGGAGTGGGGAGAACTGAGGAGCGCTGGGCGCAGTGGGGGCAGGCATCTGCTATCAGGCAGCAGCAGGTGAGGTCAGGGTTGAGGGCTCACTTCCAAAGTAGCAGGAGGCAGACAGCTGGCCCGGCGGGTTCCTAGCCAAGAGGCTGTGGCCGATGCAGCCTGCCTTCCCGTCTGCCGCTGGCGATAGGGCCCCACAGGGTCCAGGACTCAGGAGCTGCCTGGTACCCCAAGGGCAGGCTCCCTTCCCAGATGGGCACTTGGCCCAGAACCAAAGGCCAAGGCACAAGTGGGCCCTGCCCGCTCCTAAGCCCCAAGATCCTCAGTTCACACCTGCAGGGTCCCCGGGAGACTGTGAGCTGCCCAGGACCCTCAGCTGAGGGCAGGGTCAGTCTGTCCCCCTCCTCCCCGCCACAGCTCCCACTGGGGCTTCCAGACCACCCCGAGGAACAAGAGTCCACAGGCAGGGTCCCAGACAGGACACGCATCACTGCACAGGCCACAAAACTACCGACTAGGGGGTGCGCTGAGCCTCCATCCAGAGGCCCACCCCTCAGGAGAGAGACTATTCAGACACCAAACTTCAACATAGGTCTATCCTGAAGCTTCACCATGCAGTGGCAAAGTGTGGTGGTGTGACGATTCTAGGTTTTACTTCACGTGCAACTCCTGGTCTCCCGAATGTTGAATTTACACTAACCACTAGCCCCGACGGGCAGAAACGCTGGGCCACAGACTCAGGCCCCCTGCCTGGAGCTGGCCCTTCAGACCCAAGACACTGGGGAACCTGTGTGGTGTGGGTGGTCTCTGGGGGGACAGACGGGAGCAGGAACAGACTTGCAGGGGTAGAGATGGGGCTGCACAGAAGACGGCAGGTGGAGGAGGCTGCTGACAGCTTTATTGCTCTGGGGAGGGGAGGCCAGAGGCTCAGGAGCTCTTGGTGGGACGGCTCGGCTTCCTCTTCACCATCACAGGCTTCTGGCTGCGCAGGATGGCGCTGGCTCTGCGGATGGCGGCCTGGAGGCGAGGCGGGCTCAGGTCACCTCCCCTGGGAGCTTGTGCCCCCCACCCTGTGTTCCCAGAGCACAGGTCCCGCTCCACAGTCACCAGAGGACCGCCCCTCGCAGCACTGCCCAGGTGCCCCCCGCCTGCCCGCCCTGCACGGCCAGCCCCACTCACCATGCGCAAATCCGGGCGGTACTTGTTCTTTCGGATCATGTGTCGGATGCTGCTGAGGGTGGCCCGGGCGTTCTTGTTGATGGTGGTCCGCACATAGGAAGTGGCCGGCTTGCGCTGGCCTGGCGGGGGATGGGGAGAAGGGGGGCCCCAGGGGTCAGTGGAGTCTGCAACGTCGGTGCCCACACCTGTCGTGAAAGCCCGAGTGCCTGGGCCGTGTGAGTGCGGGAGGCTGCCTCATCTTCAAGCTCCACTCACAGGACAATCACACGGATGGTCACCACAGGCCAGGCCCTGCAATGCCCGATATGTCTCCTCCCTACCCCGGCCCGGGGCCAACTCTGCTCAGCTGACAGAGGTGGACTCTCATGTGTAAGGTCGCAGGTACCCAAGTGAGGTGGCCACTCAGCACCGCACGGGCCAGGTATTGAATGCTCCCCAGAAAGCAGCTCTGCTCTTCTCACGTCCACACCCTCCCAGGCCCAAGCTACCACCATCTCAGCAACAAGAGTCCGAAAGGCCAAGCTCTGAGGCCTGGCCCCAATTAATGCGGCGTGATCTGCAGCCACAGGAAGGACGGAGGGAAGAAGGGCGGCTGGTGTGTACCGAGCACCCGCCCCTCACCTGCGCACAGCTGGAGTCCACTCTCCACTGCCCAGGGAAGAGAGAAAGGAAAACTCCCCCGTTACTGTGCCTCAGAGGTGATGGGGTCCCAGCTGCATTCTGTGCTTCTGGGTCCCCCCAAGGACCCTATACCACGCTGCAGGGTTGATGTTAGCCTTCGCTGCCCCAGAGGGGAGCCCCCGTTACTCCCTCAGATCAACCCAGTTTCTGACACCCCAGGAAGAGCCACCAACAATTCAACAAGGCAAAGCAAATTTTTGGGACCCAGCACCCCGGAACAGGGTTCTCAGGAGTGTGGGAATCGGGGCAGCCTAACAGCATAAGCAACTGGCTGACCCGGGGCTGCACTCTGAGGAAGAGAGGCTAACCCTCGTCCCTGTGAGACCAGGAGGCAGCAACTGTGGTCACTGCTGTCACTGAACAGGACGCCGAGCTCAGAACCCACAGAGAAATCGATCAGGGACCTGGAAAAACTCGCTCCTTTCTCACAAAGCCCAGGGCCCACTTACAAGTGTTGAAAGTGGGACACACCATCTCAGCTGTTATCCAGAAACCCCTCCTCCCCTTGAGCCCCCTCAAAGAGCCTAAAAGACAAGTCTGTGGGGTAAACCAGTTTATCGGGGGTGGGGTGGGATGCCGAGACCTCCTTCTGAGCTCCCCCCAGCCACAAGTCGAGTCTAACTACTGCTTCAGAAGCTTCACTTCCTACATGTGGGAACTAAAGGTCGGTCCCTCATCTGTTTGCCTCCGTTTCCCCACTTGTGGAGACAAACGTCCACCTCCACCTGGGGTGCTTCAAGGATTTATTCTGAAAACATCATCAAACCGCAGCAATTTTGGAGTCCTGACTCAGATCCTATTAATCTCCACTTTTCAGATGAGCTCCTGTAACTGGTAGGCTCGCTTGGAAAGGAACCAGCTTCCCAGGCAAACATCCTGAGCCCAAGCATCCTGATTAAACAGCACAAGCACGGACACTGAAAAGCCACAGCCCCCTGTCCCGGAAGGGGATCAGTTGCCTGGGCCCAGCCATGGTAAAGGCTCACCGGATCTCCGCTTCATCACCACCACGACCCCTTTGCCGTCCGCCGCTGGCTCCACGCCCACGGTCTTGCGGTGAATGAGCCCATTGTAGCGAAAGGAGTTGCGCGCCTTCAGGTTATTCGGCTCCTGGGAACCAGAACGCATCGCGGTCGTTGAGGACGAAGGGGGCACGGCGATCGTGCAGGCCCCTCCCTCCGACCCAGGCGTCGGGGCCCCACTTACGGTGCTGTACGTCTGCTTGTTCCTCTTAATCAAGAAGCTGGAGCAGTTCCGCACGACCATCCATTGCAGATGCGCGGACATGGCGGAGACTGCGGGGAAAAGGGCGCGGGGAAACGTCAGGGGAGCAACAGGCAGAAATCTGAACACAGAGGTGTTTTGGGGGGACGCGGGGAACGGGGGCACCACGTGCGCCGAGGGCGCCTAGAAGTCTGCCAGGCGGGACTGAACTCCGGCTGCCGAGACTCACTACAGGGGACGAGGCGATAAGAACCCACAGAGACCTAAGGCGGCGGCGCCGGAGAGCAGCCAAAAACGCGAGGAGTGCGGTGAGAGCAAACAGACCGGGGCACCAACACGGGGAGCAGGCGCGAGACGCGGCCACGCGGGAGGAGGAAAAGGCCTCCACTCACCTCCTCTCAGTGCGGCGGCCGGAGACGGAAAGAGGCACGCTGGGGGCGGGGCGACGCCTTTAATACCGACACGCATTTCCGCTTCCTGTCTGGGCACGCGCACGCGGTCGGCCACACCCGCCTCCGAGGCGGCTCGTCAGCGTTCGGCTATTTCCGCCTGTCTGTCGCCAACATTTCGCGGCCCTTCTGAAGCCTTCCGCTAGGGGCCCGAGGGCGCGTGCGTTCTCGACCCGCAGCGCCGCCCTTCTGAGGGCCCTTCGTGTGTCCTCGGAACTCCGCGGCCGGATATCCGAGCGGGTCTCGCTACAGAGGCCCCCAAGTCCCCTTCCTCAGCGGCGTCTTTCCAACATGGCCACCCAATGCTTGGTACAGTATGGGTGCTCAGTACACATTTGTCTGATAAATGAAACTGAGTGCGTGAGCTATTTAACCCTAGTTCCAGGGACTCCAAGGGCCTCCAGCTTCTTCGTTGACCGTCGGCTATTCCCGACGAAGCCAGCAGGCCCGCTCGGACATTTTCGGAACTCTCCGGAAACGCCCTTCGGAAGGATGGCCGCCTTCCGTCGTCTTGCCCCATGCCCACTTCGGATCGCTTCGGAAACACTCGGCCCCTATTCGGCCACCTTCGGAAAGCTTCGGCTATCCCCGGGAGCCCCTTCTCTCAACTCGCCCTCGCCTGGGGTCTAGAGAAAAGCTGGGCGGAACTTTCTCGCAGACCGCCACCCTGGAGGGACGTGGATTTCCTCTAAGGGCGAGTTGTGTTGTAGGAGAGGAGATTTGCCTGCGAAACCTCTGGTTCCCTTAGAGCTTCCATTCCTGTTCCCCCCTCTTCCTTGTGCCTTGCGGCCTCGCGCTCCATTCCCACCAGCACCGTTCACGGCCGTTACACTTTATGCAACTTTTCTTTTCTGTTGTCAGAGTCCTTCTTATGGAGAAGGAGCTTCGCCTGATACATCTCTGTGTCGCAGCCTTGGCTAGCACAGGGCCTGGCGAGACTCCCAAGTGAACAGAAGGAAAGAACAGGGCCTTATGTCACCTCCACCGGGACAACGCGTAATTGTGTCCAGGAACTCCTCGAGGGCAGAGGCCTTGTCCATCTCCTTGCCTTTGGACTCCGCTCCTAATGAGTCCCGACGGTCCCGAAGCCCCAGGAGAAATCTGAGCAAGCAGGGACGTTGGGGTTTGCTTGTTCCCTCCATTGGAGTGCTCTAAATCTGATGGTGGCGACAGAGTTCCTGTGAGTCCCATCCACCGTTCTGGACCACACAGGCGGCCTCAGCAGGCAGGCAATATAGTGCCCACTTACATCCCTTAAGGCGCTGTGACTGCTGATCCCCTGCCTCCCAGGGCTCCTGAGGGCCCAGGGCCTTGTCTGATCCTTGTTTTTTGACCCCACCTGTCCCCACCGCGGGGCCCGCTGCCCAGGAGGCGCAGGAGGCAGGCACAGAAACAAAGCCAGGGCTCCCCACCCCGCGCGCCTTCTAGTGCCTCCATCAGAAAGTCCTGAATTTGGATCACGTGCGGCTTCAGACTCCTGGAGGAGCGCTGGGGGCCCGGGCCACACTAACCTGTGCGCCCAGCCGGACCCAGCATCGGCTCCTGAGGGCCAGGGCTTCCCCGGGCCGGGCCCGTCCACACCCGGCCCAGCCCAGGTGACCCGGAGAGCGCCGGGCATACCTGGCGCAGAACCCTGACCCCGCCCCGGGCCGCACCCGGAACGCGGAACGCGCTCTCCGCGGGTCAGAGCCAGCCATGGCGGCGGCGCCAGCCGTGTGCACCTCGCCGGGGCCCCCGCTGAGCGGTGCACAGTCCCCGGCGGCGGGCGCGCCGGGGCTGGCGTCCGGCCTGGGCCGCTGCCGGATGGCGCTGCTGCTGGCCGTGGCGCTGGACGTGGCGGGCATGGCGGCGCTGCTGACCGGCGTGTTCGCGCAGCTGCAGGTGCGCGGCCGCGACTTCGGCGACCTGCTTATCTACACGGGCGCGCTGCTTGTCTTCCTGAGCCTGCTCGGCTGGATCCTCTGGTACACAGGCAACATCGAGATCTCGCGCCAGGAGCTCGAGCGCGACTACGGCCTGAGGCCCTCGGCGCTCGCCCGCCTCGCGCGGAAGCTCTCCCGCCGCTGGTCGGCGCCGGCTTCCTCCGCCGCCGGCCGGCGCGCCGCACCCGGCTCCCAGGGAGCGCGCCGCGCCTCCCGCACGCCTCCGCCGCCCGCCGCCGGTTCCCGCCGCGTGCGCCTGCAGCTCACCTCGCTGGAGGCCGGGCCCGGGGCGACGGGAGCGGGCACAGAGTGAGCCCGAGGTGAGGGGTGGGGAGGTGAGGCGGGGCGGGGACGAGGGGAGAGGCGTCAAAGGGACAGGGAAGTGGAGAGACGGGGACAGGGATATGCGGGGAAGAGAGACAGGTAGAGGTCAAGATCGCGGGAGGGAGAGAAGCAAAGAGCACAGAGACCAGAGAACGAAGACCCAGAAACAGTACGCGTGGGTGTAGACCGGGAGAGACAAATGAGAGCCCGCCTCTGGACGTGGGAATTTCCAGGTCGCTCAAATGGTGAAGAGTCTACCTGCAGTGCAGGAGGCCTGGGTTCGATCTCTGGGTCGGGAAGGTCCCCTGGAGAAGGGCGTGGCCGCCCACTCCAGTATTCCTGCCTGGAGAATTCCATGGACAGAGGAGCATGGTGGGCTACATACAGTCCATGGGGTTGCGAAGAGACACACACACACACACACACACTCACACACACACACACACGAGTCACGATCGGCTCCTTGGATATTTGGGGATATTGGTCCCAGTGTCTCCAGGCATACCCGGTCTCATTTCCCATCCAGTCCTCCCAGTGTAACAGCCCCTGAGGTCACTAGTATTACCGTCCCATCCCAGGGAGGACACTGAGGCCCCCAAAAGGTGCCACCTCTTGCCCAAGGGGGGCTAGTTGTTGTATTCTCCAGAGTGCAGAGACCTGCTGGGGCTCCCTGCTGCCCTCTGGTTGAATGCAGGCGGCTCACTCTGTGTGTGTCCCCCACTCTCCTGCCTTCTCTGCAGTGATGATGACACCCCCAGCCCCCACCCCCGTCCATCATGGTCGGGATGTCTCCCACCAACTGGCCTCTGTCCACGCCTTCAGCTTCATCAGGGGCACGTTTGTAGTCTTCACTCCGCACAGAAAGTTTACCAGATGTCTTTTACGATCTGACTGTGACTTCAGTGCCTTTTTCTGGGTCTTTTCATGGTCTGAGTTACCCCCTTTTATTGTTTGTATTGCCATGTGGTGTGTGTGTGTGTGTGTGTACTGATACTATCTCTCGCACCCAAGAGGGAGACCATAGAGGGTAAGATCTGGGTCTCTGGTGTCTTTGTTCTTAGCATTCCCCAGCTAAGAGTGAACTCAGGAAGTCAGAGGCTGATGATTGGGTGGATGAATGGATGGACAGATGAGGGATGGATGGATGGATGAATTGATTGATGGATGGGTGGGTGGATGGATGGATATGGTGGGGGTTTCGGTTTTTTGTTTTTGGCTGCACTGTGTGGCTTGTCGGATTTAAACTTCCTGACCAGGGACTGAACCCAGGCCCACGGCAGTGAAAGTGCTGAGTCCTAACCTCTGGACCTCCAGGGAATTCCCAATACAGAGGGACTGATTGATGGCAGTTAGGTGGATGGGTAGTTGAATGGATTTGGGGCAGATGGGTAGGTAGACAGATGAGAGAACAGATGAAAGGGTTGGTTGGTAGGTGAACAGGTAAGTGGAACAATGGATGGATGATCGAATCAGTTTCCCAAGTGAGGGGTTCCATAAACGAACTAAATCCATGTTCAAAGACATTCTCTATTGGTGATGAATTAACTTTCCTCCTCTGCAACCAGAAGGATGCTAGTTATATACCTTTTTCCTTTTTTTTTTTTTGGTGAGAAAATTTCGAGAATAGTCACCTGGATCAAATGCTATGTTCTGTGTTTCAGATGAGGAAACAGTTGAAGACGAACACATGCATACATAGACGAAGCGTAAGCTAACACAGAGTTTGACATACCATGCAGAAATAGGCGCCAGTGGTTAAAATTACCCCCTGGAAACACTTTACCTTGCCCAGAAATCTTAACCCAGCTGTGGGGAACCTCTGCTGCCAGAACCACTTGCCAGAAACTGGCCAAGCTGATTAGACTCTAGGCCCCTCTGAGAAGGAAAACGGGCCTGTCCAAAGGCAGGACTCTTATCATGGGCAGGGCGAGGTGGCTCCAGCACCCGAGCGACAGAGAACTGGAATTTGAACAGAGGGACTGTGGGTGGGACTCCAGGCACTCCTCTCTCCTTCTGGGACCAAAACCCATTGGGATGCACAGACCCAGACCCAGCCCACGTCATTTCTCCCCGTGTCGTCTCTGTCTCCGCCTGTGTCCCTGTGTCTGTCACAGTCCATCTCCCATGTCCCTCTGCGTCATGCCTCTGTGGTCCCCTCGACTTCTCTGCCTCTCTCTGCCTCTCGTCTCCCACCGTGTACCCCTGGGGTCCGCTGTGTTAAAGGGACAGTTGCTCTGCCCAGCAGGCTGTGAAAATCGGAGGAGCCCTGAATAGAGTGAGAGTCCGTTGTGAGGGGCCAAAGCAGGAGGAAGGGGCCCCTGGCCGTGTGTGGTGGACCTGGGATGCAGAGGTCCCTAGCCACCACTAATGCCACCCTCCATCCTGCAGATGAACGCGTGGCCCCAGCTGTGAGCGCCTGACGGAGACGCGCCGCTGCCCCCAGCAGCCCCTGGCCACCAGGATACACCTGCCTGTCTCCCATCTCTCCTCCCCCAGATAAAACGGCTCTGCCTCCTAGCACTGCATGTCTGTCTGGGGAGGGACACTGCTGGAGCAGGGGAAGGGGCCCTAGGAGCCCAGCTGTCCAGGCCGCCCCCTCGTGGAGGGGGGACAGGAGCCTGGGGCAGGCAGGGAGGGAGGCAGGAATCTCAAGCCCAGACCCAACTCCCCATCCAGACCTCCTGCAGACCAGGTTCCTCAGTTAGTTTGGGGTCTCCGGAGAGGCAGACAGAGGGACAAAGACTGCAAGATATTTATTGGGAAAAACACAAAACACGTGTGGAGGGTCAGCTGGTGTGGGGTCTGTCCCTGAGAAAGGAGGAGGGGGGCCGAGCAGGATGAGTCTTCAGCCGTAAGGAGCTTCCAGGAAGGTTTCCATCCCGAGGCTGAGGGCTGCAGTCATCCAGCCTTGGTGGGGAGCGGGGCGAGCGGCTGCTGGCCCAAGGGCCGCAGGATCCCATGGGCCGGCAGGTGGGCAGCAGAGACTGTCAGACAGTGGCAGAAGGACAGATGAGAGGCTCGGCTGCCTGTGAACCACCCCTCCCAGCCCAGCTGGAGTCTCAGCTGAGGCCACCACCACCCCCTCAGTCTAGACCCCCTGCTAATCACAGCCTGGGACCTACACTCAACTCAGGGTGTCTGTTAGCCCAAGTACCTCTCAGCTCAGATCCCCCGCACTTACCCTGGGGCCTCTCTCATTCCAGACGCCTGTCCCCACGCACCTCCCGTGATCACAGCCCAGCCCTCCCCCGTCAGCCCAAGACCCCCCCAAAAACACACACACACACATTCCCAGCACCGCGCCCGCCCCACCCCCCCTTCATGCTCCTCAGAAAAGAGACCGAGCATCTCTGTGCTACGTCTGTATTGAGGGGCCCCTCCAGGGGGCGCCCCTAATCATCTTCATCCCCCCCTTCCGTTTCTTCGCCCCCTTCCGTCCCCTCCCCCTCGGTGCCCCCCGAGACGTCAAGGGCCCCCTCCGCGGGCGCCGAGGCAGGAATGCTGCCGACAGAGGGCGTCTTCTTTTCGCTCGGGGTCCGGTCCTTGGACAACAAGGAGACCGTCCTGGACAGGTCACACTTGCCCTTCAGGAACCAGGGCAGCCGCAGCATGTCGCGTCGCCTGGCCCACCTGGCGGGGAGGGGACACCGTCAGCCGCGCCGCCCGCCTGCCCCCATGCCCGGGTGAGGGGCGCCCGCCCGCGCCGAGCCCCACTCGCCAGAACAGGCAGATGCTGCTGATGAGGAAGAGGAGGCCTCCACACGTCCAGCCCAGCGCCCACATGTGCTTCCGCCGCATGTTCTCTGCGCAGAGCGGGCGGCGGTGAGACCCAGGGCTGCCCACCGCCAGCCCCACCCCGGGGCCCTGGCTCCCCGCGCACCATCCGGACGCTGGTGGTAGCAGACCCCGTCGCGGTAGCAGCATCGGAGACGCAGGCAGAGGTTGGGGTTCTCAATTGCCGCCTGGCCCCCGCAACTCTCCCGGTCCCACACGTCTCCTTCACAACCTGGGGACCCATCACGAGGGGCGGCATCGTTACGGAGCCCACGGCCAGGCCCGAGGCCGCCAGCCCAGAGCCCACTCCAGCCCCTGTTCTGTCAGAGCCAAAGTCAAGGCCCTTGGCCCCTCCTCCTCAGATCCGGGGGTCCAGACCCCATCCCCTCCTCCGTCTGACCCGGGGGCCCGGACTCCCGTCCCCTCCTCCCTCAGACCCGGGGGTCTGGACCCGGCCCCTCCTCCCTCAGACCCGGGGGCCCGGACTCCCGTCCCCTCCTCCCTCTGACCCGGGGGTCCGGACCCGGCCCCTCCTCCCTCAGACGCGGGGGTCCAGACCTCATCCCCTCCTCCCTCTGACCCGGGGGTCCGGACCCCGGCCCCTCCTCCCTCAGACCCGGGGGTCCAGTCTGGGCTCTCTGTCCCTGGGGGGACCCCGGGTGTCCTCCGCTGCTCACTCCATGGATAGAAGAATCCCTGGATTCCATTCCCGTCTGTGAAAGAGAAGAGCCGTGTGGGGAGAATGGAGGCTGAGGCGCTCCCGGCCCCGCTCTCCGACCCTCTCGCCAGCGCCCTCACCTACTGAGCCCTGCATGAGCAGGAGGAGACCCAAAGCTGGGATCCCAGAGCCCACCATGTTGCCTCCCCAGCCTCCTGGGGCCTCTGTGGGGAGAGACCTTGAAGGCCATCACCCCAGCAACCGGCTTGGCCCCGCCCACCTGCCTGCCTGCCCCCCAAAGTTCTAAGTTCTGTTGCTAGGGAGACCCCTCAGCAGTGGGGAAGGAAAAAAGGGGGGTCACACTGGCCTGGTCATGCCTGGTTGCTAGGGAGTTGCTTCCTTAGCAACCAGGTGGAAGGGGCCTCAGGGGTGGGATGGGGCCCTGGTGTTAGAAGAGCCCCCTCAGCAACCCGGGTGCAAAGCAAGAGGAGTCTAAGTCATCTCCCCTTTGCCAACCAGGGGACCCCAAGAGTGGGCACCCCAAGACCTCTTGCCAAGGCCTCCCTCTGCTTAGTAAACTGATGCCCGAGGGGAAGGTCCAGGGGGCCCAAAATCTCCTCAGACCTGGTTGACAGGGGGAGGGCCTCCCTAGCAACCAGGGGTGGGGGGCCTGAGGCCCAGAGGACCTCACTGAGCCCCATTGTTAGGCTCCTGAGCACCCAGACCTAGGAGGGTGATGAAAAATGGGGGTCAGGCCACGTAGCTCCTGTTCAGGTGCCCCTGGTCCCAAGGGCATCCAGGCCCCCGATGGGGAATGTGTGACCTACCAGAGGGCTGGGCCCCCCAGGATCTGAGAGCTCTGAGGCCTGGGTGGTGGGGCGGGGTGTCACAGGAAGGGAGCCCCGTCTAGCGCGTCTCAGTCTCTTCAGCCGCAAACGGGGAAACACACCCAACTGGGGTCCCCAGGCTTCTGGTCCGGCTCCAGGGTGGTGGGGGAGGCAGTCAACCTGGGGGCTGGGTTGGGAACTGATCCTGAGTTCTTCCCTGAACCTGCACTCAGCTTCCAGCCAGTGAGGACGGGGCTCATCGCCCCTGGAGTGGTCTGTCCTTGTGTCCAGACCCCGGGTCTGAATGGGGAGGGGCTGGGGGTCTGGACCCCTGTGTCCTTGAGGGAAGAGGGGCTGGGGTCTGGATCCCCGGGTCTAAGGGAGGAGGGGCCGGGGGTCCTGACTCAGGTCTGACAGAGGCGGCCGGGGGGGTCCTGACTCAGTCTGAGGGTGCAGGGGGCAGGGCCGAGGTCTGAGGGCAGCTGACCAGTAGTCCAGAGCCCCCTCCCCAGGAGCCCTGTGAGGCTGCCTCCCGGCCTCCCCACCTCCTGTAAACATCCTGGTGGGTGCTGAGTGGGCCCCGGCGTTGCCTTCGTCAGAGATGACACAGGTCAGAGGGGCTCGGCAGGGGGCCGGGGGTGGGGGTCAGAGGGGTTGCAGGGCTGAGGCCAGGCAGCTGCTGACCGTTTCCTGTGTCAACATCATCCGGACCCACTTCCCAATTCCCGGGATTCCTCAGGGATCAAGGAGGGGGTGGGGGGCGGGGCCGCGGGCCCTGGACCGCGGCTTGGGGCTGGGGGGGGGGCCCACCGTCACGGCCCTCACCGCTAATGACAGGTTTGGGCTGCCTCTGCGGCCCGCCTGCCCCGTCACCCCCCAGAGGCCAGACAGGACCCCCCAGGGACAGACAGACGGACACACACAGCCTCGGACCTGCTGACCTCACACCGGCCAGCTCCACCTCAGCCGGGGGCCAGCCCATGAGCAAGGACCCCCTGGGGCCCCATCATCTCCCAGCGGCATCTCCCCTCCCCCCGCGTCTGTGACCACCCCTCAGCGCCCGAACCCCTCTGTCTCTCCCCATCTTTGTCTCTCAGCCCCCGAGCTTGTCTCTCTGTCTGTGGGTCCCAACTTTTTGTTTGTTGTTTGCATCTCTTCCTCCCTGGTGCTCTCGCTGTGGCCCCGTCTCCGTTTGTCACCATCATCTCCTGTCATTGTGATTCTCCACCACGTATTTCCCCGGGGTCTGTCTCTGCCTCTCTTTCTCACCCTCCTTTCCGCAGAAGTGGGCCGAGTGTCCCCACCTTCGGGGAAGACCCGGGAGTCCTGAGAACTCCCACCCTCCAGCCTGCACCCACTAGCCCCCTGCAGCCCGCCTCCTACCCTGGGGAGGGGGGGGAGATGACTCCCACACCCTCAGGATGGGGGCTGAGGAGGGGGCTGGTGCTGGGCGCGGACCGCTGACCCGTACCCGGGACTCCGGACTGCACTCCCCAGATTGTAGCATGCCTACAAGTTCTCTCCATCTTTCGAGAAACAAGGGTTTCACTCCTGGACAGGACACCTGGGTCTGTGGGAGGAGGGGGCTGGGAGCTGGGCTCCTGGACGTGGAGGAGGAGGAGGAGGCTGGGGGTCTGGACCCTCAAGAGAGAGGGAGGAGGCTGGGGGGGACAGTCTTGCGATCCTAGGCATCCTAGGCTGAAGCAGCGGGTGGGGGCTGGCACCTCCCCTGCCCTGCCCCCCGTCACTGGAGGGGCTGCCTTCCGACAGGCTGGCCCCAGGCCCAGGCCCCCACACCCCCTCGGGCCAGGCCATCCCCCAGGCTGGTGGCCTGAGTCACCTTGGCTGGCCCCGCCAGTCTGGGGGGGGCTACGTCAGTTCTCCCCTCACTGACGCAGCCTCAGGCCCCCCACGCTGACTCAGCCGGAAACAGGCCCCCTGAGGGGCGGAGACCCAGTGGTCAGAGGCCTGGGTCCCAGCGCTCGCGGGGGCTGGGGAGGGCCCCTGGGGGGCCCTGGCAGGGGTGGCCGCGGCAGACTGAGAGGCAGAGCGAGCTCTCACCTGAGGCGATGAGGTCATGTCCCACCGTGGGGGGCTGTGACCTCACCTCCCTGGGGGCCTCAGCAGTCACCCCCCAAGTGGTGGGGGATGGGGGGCCTCCAGCTGCCATTCATCCCCGGGGTCCCCCTGGCAGCTCAGCAGAGTCTGGGGTCAGTGTGTGGGGGGTGCTCTGCAGGGAGACCTTCGAAAGTCCGGGTCACCTTTTGACTTCTCATATCCCTCCGTCCTCCTTTGCTTACCTTTATCCTGGGGGGGTTGCTCTTGGGGGCTTGGGCTCCTGTCTGGGTCCCTCACTTGTCCTGCCATGAACCCTGGGGGCCACCTCTGCTCCATACCCTAACCTGGTATACCTGCGTCTGTGTTGGCACCGCTGTCCCCTGGAGTCCTTGTCCCCCTGCATGTCCAGCCCCTGTCCACTTCTCCGCCTCTGCACATGTTCTCCCCATCCCTGACCTCCCCCTCCCCAGCTCTCTCCCTATCTTCCCATCTCCATCTCCCTAGGGGCCACATCGTTCTGTCTCCCTGGATATGTTAATAAAACATCAATGGTGAGAATGGCCATGGTTCGTGTCTACTGAGAGCTGACTGTGTGACTTTACAGGAGTGAATTCACTGTCTCCCTGCACAGGCGTTTGGGGAGGGTGCCTGGGGTGTCCCCATTTCACAGACAGAGCAACTGAGGCACAGCGAGGTGAAGCCACGTGTTCGAGGTCCCACACCTGCTGGGTGTCTCTCGACCCTGGTCCCTGTCTCTGCCTCTGGTCTTCTGTCTCCACGTTCCAGCATTCTCTGGGAGAATGGCCCCCTCTGTTGGTCCCCATGGCTGACCCCTTGCTGGCACCTGCCTCTGTCAGGGGACCTCGGCCCCTGGGGCGGCTCCATCTCTGTCACCCTGCCTTGTGCCTCTGATGCCCTGCCTCGCCTCTTTCAGACACACCTGTCTCTGTCTCTTTTCCTTTTTGAAAGGAGAGTCTCTCCAAATCTCTCCTGCTGACCTTGTATTGCTTCCTGGACCTCACCTCTCTCTGCTGGTTTTCTCTGGCTGTCTCTCTCTGGGGAGATCTCTGTCTCTCTCTCTCTGTGCATCTCAGACGCTCCATCTCTGCTTGCGGCCCATCTCTCTGTGTGTCTGGATCTCCCTGCCTGGGTCTGGGTCTCCCCAGCCCTCTCTCTCTGCTCCTAAAAGCGTCTCTGCGCTCGCACCTCCAGCCCTCCAGCCCCCATCTTCAGCTCCCTGTCTCCCCATCTCTCGGCCAGCCCTGGTCCACCCGCCCCCCCTTGCCCTGCAGCCAGGCCCCGTTCTCAGCAGCGTGTGTCTGCCCCGGCGGCCGGCCGAGGAGGTGGAGGGAGGGGACGCCAATGACCTCACCAGCCCCTCTCCGACCACCCCCCCTTTCCCTTTTCAACTTTTCCAACTTTTCCTTCCGTGCCCTCCTCCGAGAGCGGCGGCGGCGTGAGCCCTGCGAGGCAGCCGGCTCCGTCTGAATGGAAAAGGCAGGCAGGGAGGGTGAGTCAGGATGTGTCAGGCCGCCCTCCCCTGCCGCCTGCCCCCCGCCCGCCCGCCTCGGCCCCCTATATAACCCCCCAGGCGTGCACACTCCCTCACTGCCGCGGCCTTCTCTGCTCACACGCACATGCCTCCCCTCCCCAGGCCGAGGCCCAGCTGACCCCCAGGGCTCCCACGGCAGCGGACAGGGAAGGGTTAACGGCCCCCAGCCCCCTGCCCCCTGCCCTGGGGAACCCCTGCCCCTGTGGGGACATGAACAGTAAGTTGGTTCAAGTTCCTGGAGCGGGGAGTTGGGGGGGGCGGTGGACGGGGAGGGAGAGAGGAGGGAGGGACCGTCGCTGGAAGGGTGGGGAGCAGACAGAGCGCCGGAGGAGCGCGAGGCAGCGATGGGGAGGTGGAGACGCAGCGAGGAGGACCTTCGGGGCGGGCAGGGGGCCTAGGCAAGGGACGGGCAGCGGGAGAGGTGCAAGGCCGGGTCAGAGACGCGGAGACCCCGACGGGGCAGCGCCAGGCGCAGAGACAGAGATGGGAGGCCCACGGACAGACAGACAAACGCCAGGGGCTGAGCCCGAAGGGCCCGGGACCCCCGGGGCGTCAGGGGGCCCCAGACAACCGGGGACCCCGACGGACAGGCTCCAGGAGAGATACTGAGGCAGAGTGCCCCAGGAAGTCAGAGCGGACCCCCCACCCCTCTCCGCGCCCAGCCAAGGGGAGGAGAGAGAGAGGGAGACGCAGGGGTGCAGACAAACGGCAGAGCCAGACGGACGCGGACAGACCGACGGACTGCGGGTGGGGAGGGCCCAGGGGGCGGGCCGGGGGCGTGCCGCGGGAGCGGGGCTGCCCGGGGGGCGCTGATTGGCCGGCGGGCGGGTGGGCGGGGAGGGGGGGGATGGGCGGCGGCGGCCCGGGGCCCCAGTGCACCTCGCCGCCGGCGCCCTCTCCGCCCGCGGCGTGCTCGCCCGGCGCGCCCGCCTCCCCGCCGCCCGCCGCCCAGGTGCGCCCCGGGGCATCCCCGATTCTGTGGCCCGCTCGGGTCGGCCCCCACGGGGCCTCCTCCGGCGGCTCCGTCCCCCTCGGGTCTCTTTTCCCGGCTCTCGGTCCGGCTCGGGCTCGCGAGCCCCGGGAGGGGGGCAGGTCCTGGCCTGTGCGTCTTCCCCCCCACCGTGCCCCGCCCCGGGGCCCGGATTCCGGCGTCCGGGGGCGGACGGGAGACGCCCGGCCCGTCTACCCGCCCCGGGGCCGCGTCTGCTCCGACGGGCGGGGCAGCCCGAGCCGGGGAGGGAGAGGGAAACCCGCCCAGGCCCTGCGCCGAGCCCTGGGTGCTCAGCCCGGGGACCCAGGACCCCCACCCCAGCCCCTCTTCCCTCAGACCCCCGGTCGGGGCTGAGCCGCTTCCCTCTCCCCGTACGTCTCCACCTCCCCAGGTGTTTGCTGCCTGGTCCTGGCCGCCCTGAGCCTGTGGCCCGATAGAGCTGCTGCCCCGGGGCCGCCGCCCGCCCCGCCGCGGGCCTCCCCGGACCCTCGCGCTGAGCTGGACAGCGCCGTGCTCCTGACCCGCTCCCTCCTGGCGGACACTCGGCAGCTGGCCGCACAGCTGGTAGGACAGCCTGCAGGGGACGGGCTGGGGCCAGGACCGAGATCCTGAGGGCTTCTAGGCTACCAGGGTGGCCGAGACAGGGTGGGGGAAAGGGGATCAGGGGCTTGTGGTGGGGGAGGAAGGACCCCCCCAGAGCTGGGTTGGGTCCCTCTCACGGCCTCTTTTCCCCCCAAGAGAGACAAATTCCCAGCTGACGGAGACCACAACCTGGATTCGCTCCCCACCTTGGCCATGAGTGCGGGGGCGCTGGGAGCCCTGCAGGTAAGGGCGGGGGTGGGCCAGTGAAGCGGGTGCAGGGAGTTGGGGGCTGGCGTGGGCGCTTGCCAGGCGCTTCTTGACGCCCCCCCCCCACACACACCGGTCGCCCAGCTCCCGGGAGTTTTGACACGGCTGCGGGCAGACCTGTTCTCCTACCTGAGGCATGTGCAGTGGCTGCGACGTTCAGGAGGCCCTTCCCTGCGGACCCTGGAGCCCGAGCTGGGCACCCTGCAGGCCCGGCTGGACCGGCTGCTGCGCCGGCTGCAGCTCCTGGTACGATGACCTGGCCCCGAGCCCTGAGCCCCTGGACTCCTGGCCACTCTGAGACCCTCCCCCCGTTTCCCTGAGGCCCTGGACTCCAAAGTCCTGCCTGGAAACTCTAAACTCTCACCCAGAGACTTGGACCCCATGATCTTGTGACTCCAAGTCTCCCACCCTGAAGTCCTAAGATTTGAGAGTCCAGACCCTCATCCCAAGACCTGGAGACCTTGACTCCAAGACAGGAGGATTCCAGACCCCAAGCCCAGGAAATTCTGAACCTCCAGACCCTGAGACCCGCCCCCCCCCCCCACACACACATCCTGGCCCTGAGATCCCGACACCTTAAGGCCCCAGACCCTATGATGATGAGCTTTGACTCAAAACCAGCCTGGAGACCCTCGCTCTGCAAGCCCCAGACCCCAAGGACCTAGATCCTGAGGTCTCCAATGAGAAGACCCCAGGCCCTGAGCTCTAAGTTCCCAAGAGCTCAGACCTAGGTTGTGATCCCTTATGACCCTAAGACTCTGACTTTCTAAACCCCAGACCCAAGACCCTGAGGTGTTAAGACTTCAGTCCTCAGTTCCTGGACATGAGCCCAAAGGCCCTGGAACTCAGACTCCAGTTCTCAGTTCTGAGACCCCAGACTTGTGATCCCAGCCTTCACCCATGAGTGTCTGAGCTTGATCCCAGAGACCCCACATCTAAGACCTCAGCCCCAGGATCCCAGCCCTGACCTTCAGACCCACCCTGGCCCCCTGAACTTGACTCTGGAACCCCAGCCTCAAGACCCCCACCTTTGGTCCCAGCCTCAAATTTCTGAACTCAGCATCCTGCAGAACTCTCTCCCCCGACACCCCAGCTTCCAGGCCCCGAGATGCTGTGGAAATAGGCCCCTGGCCCTCCTCCAACCCTGGTTCAGCACGGGCTTCAAACCCCCTACCCCCTTACTCGGACACCCCACTGTACCCCTGGCCTGATGCTAACCCTCTGTTCTCTCCTGACAGATGTCCCGCCTGGCCCTGCCCCAGGTGCCCCCAGACCCCCCGGCGCCCCCCCTGGCACCCCCTGCCTCAGCCTGGGGGGGCATCCGGGCGGCCCATGCCATCCTGGGGGGGCTGCAGCTGACGCTTGACTGGGCCGTGCGGGGCCTGCTGCTGCTGAAGACTCGGCTGTGACCCTCTGCCCAGAGCCACCCGCGCCGTTCAAAGCCAGATCTTATTTATTTATTTATTTCGGGATGGAGTTGTGGTGGTCAGAGGATTCCCCCCCCCAACTCCATTCTCTCCTAGTTAGAGACGATCCCTCCAGGATCCACCCCGGAGACCTGGGCAGAGGGGCATCTGTGCCTTATTTATACTTATTTATTTAACAGGGGTGGTGGGAGGCAGGTGGACTCCAGGGTTCCTGAGGAGGCAGGAACTTGGCTCCCAGATTCATGGGTCTCCCAGTCTGGCCACAGTGTCTCCCTGACTCCCACCCCTCTGGGCCTGGGCAGGAGCATATTATTATTTATTAAACTATTAACTTTTTATGTTGGGGTGGGCAGGGAGGGGGAAAGGAGGCCTGGGTTTTTGTACAAAAATGTGAGAAACCTTTGTGAGATGGAGAAGGGGGAATTAAATTCGTCATACACATCCACTTAGAGGTGATTTCTCTGGGGGCTGGGGGCTCGATGCTGGGGTCCCTGGGGGGGTGACTGGTCGGACAGGAAAGGAGAGGGGGGCCATCTAGTCTCTGGGTCACCCCCAGAGACTATGAGTTCTTAGTGCTGCGTCTGAGCCTCACCTGGTGGCCAGCACTTCATAGGCACTCAATAAATATTTAATAGAAGATTCCAGAAGTTTACTAGTACAGGGCAAAGTTGCAAGTTCAAGGCTGTCCTTTATGGCAGTGTTTACAACAGCAAATTGAAAACAGCCTAGATGCCAGACAGTAGGGGACAGTTATATAAATTATAGTGCCTATCTATGTGACAGAACATACCAGCTGTGAAGAGAGATGTTCCAGAGCCTGCCTTTGACATAGAAGGAGCGGGCTACAAACCACTGTGTGATCCCCACTGTGTGTGTTTTTACACATGTAGGTATGTAGATAGAGATAGATATATGGATTATTTTAAAACCCTAGAAGGAAATACACCAAAATGTTGGCAATGGCCAGCTCAGGGTAGAAGGTGGGGGTGGGGTTGCTGGTGACTTTCATTATTTGTGCTTCTCTGTATTTTCCAGAACTTTTACAATGACCACGTATTTTGCATGACACATTAAAAAAAGAAAATAAACACTATATTTAGAGTGACAGAGTAGCAGCACCCACCCTCCCCAAAAGACCTCAGAAGGGGACAAGAATGACCATTCATTGCAGGCCTGCTCTGGGCCAGGCCCTAAGTGTGGGGTTTTATTTACAAGATTCCCTGCACTCCCCGGTACCCACCCGCCTCATTTTACAAAGAAGGGAACAGGCTCCTGGAGAATCCTGTCGTTTAAGGCCACATAGCTAGGGAGAGTCAGTTTGACTCTGCCTAGTCTGGTTCACTCCAAACGTGATGTCGAAGGTACAGCACTGGGCCATTACAAGTTCGTTGTAACAATGTAACAACAATGTAAGGTTGTAACAACGGCAACCACTGCCACAGACACAAGTTAGATACAGGGAAACTGAGGCCCCTGGCAGCATGGACCTTTCCCAGGTCTGGAGAAGGGTCAGTGGCAAGTGGAGACTGTAACTGAAGCCTCCCCCTCTTTAAGAGTCAGAAACCCTTGGATTTAATTATCCATTTACAGCCTCCCAGAGGAGCCCTCCCAGGGCCCTGGGTTGTCGCTAGTTTGGGTCTGCAGGGGGGATTCTGATTCAGCCCCTGGTACTCCAGGGCAGGGTCCCAGGAGGAGGAGAAGGGAGCCCACTGTCGCTGGGCAGTTCCGGGAAGCGCCGCACCCGTGGTCCATGAGGTCACAAAGCCCCTCCGAGGAAGGCTCCTCCCCCAGGCCGGCGCGGACCACCCCCGCAGGGCCATGCCCGAGCCCCGGGGAAGCTCCACCCGCTGTAGCCGCTGAAGTCCGAGGGGCTAGGCCCGGTGGGCTGGGGCGGGGGCCGGGGCAGCCAGGCCCCGGGGTGCCGGGTCCCTGCCTCCGCGCCCCCGGGTGACCCGTCCTTTCTGCAGCCGCCATGAACCGACTCCGGAACTTGAGGCGTCCGGAGCCGCTCCGGGGCCCCCCGCAGTGGGTCCCCACTCTGGGCGAGCTGCAGAAGACCCTCCAGCATGGGGAGCACTTGCCCCTCCGCCCGCTGCCCATGTTCGAGAGTAACTTCGTCCAGGTCCCCGGCCCCCTGTGCCCCGCGGGCGGAAGAGGGGCAGGAGGGGCAGGAGACCCCCCACCCCGGGCTGGGGGATTCGGCGGGCAAGAGGCAGCTGGGGGGCTTGATGGGGGTGGGGGACTCGCTGTGGGGGAGCCAGAGGAGCGTAAGAAACCCGAGTGGTCCCAGCCCCTCTCCCTGGACCCCCCAGGTGACCAATCGAGGGGCCCCGGTGTACGTGCACCACAGGACCAACCGAGTGACCATGGGCGTGGCCGCCTCCCTGCCAGGCCTGGTGCTGCCGGACATGCTGCTGCTGGCGCAGCCCCCCGAGGACAGGGAGTGCTCCAACCTCGTCCTTACCAGGTGCCTCCATCCGCGCCCGTGTGCGCTCTACCCGGGGCGCGCTCTACCGCCGCCGGCCCCCGCACCCCGGTCGCGCGCTCTACCACCGCCGTCTCCCCCTCCCAGGATGATACCGCTGGACCTGGCCCACCTCTACGTCCACGACCTGTCCGCCTGGCGCTTGAAGCTGCGCCTGGTCACGGGCCGCTACTACTACTTGGAGCTGGACGCCCCCGACAGCGAGGTCGGCTTCCTGTTCGACCGCTGGATGCGCCTGATCAACCAGCTCCAGCAGCCGGCCACTTCCTGGGCCCCCAGGACCCTGCACACGCCCCCCACGGGCCTCTCTCACCTAGGGCCTCCTGCCTCCACCTGGCGCCTCCAGGTGCAGCCCTGACCCCCAGGGACCCCTGGGGGCAGCTATGGTTCTAGATTCCAGAGGGAGTCAGGACCAAAAGCCATGAAAGTACAGGAGCCCTGGGAAGGGGGCTGGGGACCTGGACCCCCGGGTCTGAGGAGGGTGGAGGGGCTAGGGGTCTGGACTGGGAAGGTAGTGGAGATGTGGACACCAGGAGCAGACTCCCCTTCCTGACTGCCCCCTCCCCTTCCACAGGTCCCGTCCCACCACAGACGTTCAGGTGAGCTGGCTGGGGTGTCCACTGGGCCCATCCCCCAGTCTCAGCTCCTCCGCCAGAAGTGGACAGAGCCTCAGCAGTCCCTCTCTTCCCCTCTGTCCCCTGGCCGAGCCCCCCGTGAGTCTCCTCGGGGCCTCCGCCCATCATCCCTGGGTCCTTGACGTGATGGGACCCTGTCTATTTCCAGTCACAACTGTCGAGCCCACCTTTCCTTACAAGATTCTGACAGCTCAAAAACAGAAGGTCAAGGTGAGCGGCCCCGCTGGGCCTGGGGGGGGGGGGTGGTCGGAGGGAGCAGGGCGGGGCGTGAGGGCTTGAGGGGCTGCACCTCCTGACCACCCACCCCTCCACACACACCGCCAGACCCTCAAGCGCAAATTCAAGTCTCAGGCCGTGGGCGACTCTCTGCCTCTCGTGTGGTCCCAGCTGGAGCACACGGATGCCACGAAGAAATCCACGGAAAAGAAGTAGGCTCGGGCCTCGTCGACCAGCAGGGCAAGGGGGCCGGGGGTGGGTCTCGGTGCAGAAGCTGCCAGACTCACACCAAATTTCCCCTGCAGGCCCCAACCCGACCTCCCCTCTGGCAGACCGAAGACTGAAATCCAAGTTTCTGGTGAGCACACATCCCCCTCCATGAATGGACCCCCGAAATTCTGACTCTTCTGCGGAGGGCTCAGACAGTTTTCTCCCTGCATCCCCTCCCCCCACCCCCCCAGAGAAGCCCAGCATCACCATTCGGACCATCTTCAGCATCATTTCCAACACACCAGACCACATGGAGTCTTCTCCCAAGGCAGTTGTATACCCAGGGCTGGGGCAACGCTTGAGACAGAGCTGGGGGGCTGGGGGCCTGGACCCCCGGGTCTGAGGGGGGAGGGGCGGGGTCTGCACTTCCGGTTCTGAGGGAGGCGGGGCCGCGGCCAGCTTCCGGGCGTCTCCAGCAACCTGACCACCAATGCCCTCCCGTCCCCCACCCGCAGGGTTGCTCTGACTCTGAGGGTGGCACGTGCCTGGCAGGCTTATTGGAGACCCCTTTACACTGCATCTCGGAGGACAGCCCTGAAATGCCCCTGCTGGGCGCCTGTGACGGCCTGGATATGTGCGCGTGGCAGCAGGATGTGCACAACCTGATGGACCCTGAGACCAGCACCATGTCCACCTGCTCCATCCGCCCAGCCTCCTACACTCCCGACTTCCCCAGTTTCAACGAGAAGGCCAGGCCTCTGCCGCGCACCTGGAAGCCTCCAGCTGTGCCCGCTGCCCTTCGTAAGGCTCCCTTCATCCTTGACCAGTCCAAGAGGGTCTCGGCTGTGTCGGCTCCACTGCAGATGTCCACTGCGCCCAGCCCCTCCCAGAAGGCCACAGCTTATCCTCGTGCTCCCCAAAAAGGCCCATTTCAGAACCCCCCTCATGCACCAACCATTCCCCAAAAGGCCACAGCCGTGCCTGGCCCATCTCAGAAGCCCCGTCATGCACCAGCCATCCCCCAGAAGGCCCCAGCCATGGCTGTGCCATCTCAGAGGGCCCCAGGAACACTTGGTGTTTCCCCAAAGGCTGTTTCCCACCCTGCTCCCAACAGAAAATCTGTGTTCCTACCTGCCCCATCCCTGAAGGATCTGACCTCATCCACCCAACACCGCATGACACTGGGCCCTGACAGTGTCAGCGTGGTGCCCGCCAGAAGCCACACAGGGGACGTGCTTGAGAAGAGGAAGCCTGAAGAGAAGACAGAGCCAGTGAAGTTGATGGGCACCAAGGAGAAGAACGTGGTAGAGACGAGAACTCAGAAAACGACCATGGAGGTGCCTTTTACCACCACCGAGAAGACGTCGGAGGAAGTCCTGATCCGCAGGGCCCAGGAGATCGCCGTGGATGGCTTGAAGGGCAAGGGCAAGCTGGAGGACAGGGTCCACACAATGAAGGAGGAGATCGCTCAGGACATGCCAGGCTTCAAATCCAAGGAGGTGGGGCAGCAGAAGAAGTGGGTCAAGTCCAAGAAACTGGCCATCCAACAAGCCCCCCAGGAGCAGACCAGGCCCTTCTCTGTGGAAGGGCTCACCCTTGCCAAGCTGATGATCATTGCCGGCTCCAAGGACCCCACCTTGAGGTCGGCTCTGGTCGACCTGCCCTCCTGGTTCTCAACTTCACAGGGGCATGACTTGTCCACGATGGGCAGGGTACCCCTCAGCCCCACCCATTTGTCCATGCTGGAGGAGACGCTGGTGGGGGTCAGGGAGCAGCCACAGTTGGGGGTCAGGGTGGAGGAGATGCCCCAGGACTCAAAGGGACCTCCCAACGTGTCCTGTCACCCCAGGCGTGTGGCCAGCAGCCCCAAGATGAATGTTGCCTCTCAGACTCCCATCCCTCTGCCCGCCACGAGGTGGGAGGACATACCCGAGTCACCCACCTCGCTGACCCCCATCTCAAAGATGGAGGCCAGGGTCTCCCAGCAGCCCAGGAGGGTGTCTCAAGAACCTGAGAGGGGGCCAGACCAGGGCCCTGTGGCTACAGTGGGGTCGAACTTGGAGATCCTCCTGCCCACCCTCTTGGAAATCCAGAGTATGAAGGACGAGGCCTTCAAGGTGGAGAAGATAAAGGAGGAACTGGGTGCCTTCGCTCCTTCGCCCAGGTATTTGGCGGTGGTCATGATCCTCTCTACTTGGTGTCCATGAGGAGGCAGGGGGCTCACTCCCTCTTTCCTCACTTCCCTCTGGGCTCTCAGCATAGAGTGAGCATCGACCAGGTGCCAGGCATCATTCTATGCACTAGGGACATGGAAAGGAGCAATTCAGGGAGGGGGTTGCTCCTGGCATCTTTGCGGAGCCCAGGAATACCCCTCAACATCCCACAGTGTAAGGGATGGTGCCCCCCACCAAAGGATGAAGCCCTACAAGATCGCAATAGTGCTGAGGTTGGCAACTCTGACGACAGAATCCACATTAATTATATCGTACATTAGAAAGCAGGAGGGCTCTGGGCACATCGCAGGGTAGGAAGAGTTAGATGTGGGGGTAGGCAGGTTCCTGGACTGAGTTGAGTTGGTCCAGGAGGGCCTCAGTGAGCTGGCGTCATCTGTGTGAAGATCTCAAGGAGGTAGGTGAGGAAGCTGTGTGGACATCTGGGGATGTCCCTTCAGAAAGAACAGCCGCGGCAGAGTCCCTGAGGCAGGAGAGCACGTGATGTGTTGGACTGTCGCGGAGCTCTGGGACGTCCTGGAGTGGGAATCGCGGTCACGCAGGGCCTTGCAGGCCACCTGAAGTAGTGTGGGTTCGCTGCTGAGTGGCCCTGGAGGGTTTTGAGCAGGACGGCTGGAACTTACATATATTAGAAAGGACGCTCTCTGGCTGAAGGGTGGAGAGGTGGAGGGGGACAGATGGACGCCGGGAGAGGAGTGGGACAGGCCGTTGCCATGGTGACCGAGGCAAAAGGTGATGGTGGCTAGGACCAGAGAGGCGGGGACGGGAGTACGGAGGAGTGGGGCTCTGCAGATGCTCTGATGGTTGAGCCCATGGGTCACCTCATGGGCTGTGCATGTTTGATGTGGCACCAAGGGTGACCTCGAGGTTTGGGATCGGGGACACCCAGAAGGAGCAGCAGCGGAGGCTGTGGGCGGAGCAGGTGTCAGGGAGAAGACTGGGAATTCTGTCCTGGACATCTTGCCTCTGAGATGTCAGGTGAGGATGTGGGGTAAGCGGCTGGACACAAGTCTAGAATGATGTGGGGAGTCACCAACACATGGACAGCTTCTGCAAGCTATGAGCCTGGAGGTCACCAGCGAGTGAGGGCAGGCAGAGACAGGGTCCACGGTGTTTAGGGAAAGGGAAAACACGGTCAGAGAGGGTGAGCACGGAACACCCTCCTGAACCCACCAAGTGAAGAAAATGACCAGGAACATCGTGGGAGCAGCTGTGTCGAATGCTGCAAGCAGGTGAAGGAAGACGGGAGGAGACAGAACCTCTGGATTTAACAGCAAGGAGGGGAAGAGGGAGGACCTGAATGGGGTAGGCTCAGGTGAGCTGCGACTCTTGAAAACGTGGCTGAGTGAAAGGAGCCAGACACACAAGGCCACGTCGTGTACGATGTGGTTTGCATGAAATGTCCAGATGAGGCAAATCCCAAGAGACAGGAAACAGATTGGTGGCTGCCTGCCGGGAGCTGCAAGGGGTGGGAGGGATGGGGAGTGACTGCCTCAAGGATGTGAGGTTTCCTTCTGGGATGATGAAAACGTCCTGGGAACTACGTGGTTGCACAACATTTGAGTGCAATTTAACGCCACTGAGTTGCACACTTTCAAATCATTACAGCGGTAATTTTTGCAGGGTGTGTATTTCCCCAGTCGTTAAACACACACACACATACGTAAAGTGGGGAATTGGAGAGGAGGCGTTAACCAGCTCTTTCCAAGGAATTCGCTGGAAGGGAAGGAGGAACCTGAAGAGGAAGCTGATTTAGGATGTGGGACAGGAGAGGACTTCTTGAGAGGAAGGAGATGTTAGTGCATTTGGATGCTGGGGTGAAGGATCCAGAGTCAGGCTTGACACTGGGGAGGCAGGGGGGAGAGAAAGCTAGGAGGGACCTTGGAGGACACTTGGGCTCCAGGTCAGGCTTGCCGGGCCCTGGAGCAGGAACCACCCCCCATCTACACTCACTCCTCTCTTCCCGCGGGTCCCCCAAACCCTCTCTAGCTTTCTCTCCCTCTCTCTCTCCAGCAGGCCGCACTCGCAGCAGTCTCAGTAGTGGGATGGGACGGACTCAACTTCAGTCGCCAGTGTCCAGAGGAGCCTAGCGGGGCCAGGTAGCCCCTGAGCCCTGTAGGTCAGCCGGACACCTGGCCCTGGCATCCAGCAGCCCGGCCTTTACCCTGGCTCTTTCCTCTTCCTCACAGGCCCCCAGGTGCTATGCACCTCTACTGTAAGAAGCAGGGTGCTGAAAAGGCCGGGCAGGGGCGGGGTGCTTCTCGTCGGGTAGAGACCAGAGCTATCTATACGTTTATATAGGGGACGGGGCGGCGGGCGGGGGCCGAGGCCCGGGAGAGCCCGCGTGGTGCCCCAGCTTCGCAGAGATTAAAAGCCCGAGTCTGAGACTCGGCCGGAGTAGCGCCTGCTGCCTGTGTGAGCGCGTCGGCACCGAGAGGGGGCGGCGGGTGGCGGAGGGGGGAGGTCCGCACCGACCCGGCCCGGCGTCCCGCAATGTTTCCTGCAGCGCAGCGGCTCCCATTGGCTGGGGCTCCGGGGGGCGCAGCCAATCGGGCCCGAGGGGTAGTGCTTCCTGGGCTGGGACCCTCGAGACTCCGCAGCAAGGGCCACCCTCGACGGAGCCACAGGCACAGCTGAGTCAGCGACCCCCCGACGGCCTGCTGAGCGCCGGACAGGTGGGGACGGGGGCTGGGCTTCGGGGCGAGCGTCAGGCGCCGGGCGGAGCGAGGGGTGCGGGTCGGCCCCACGGAGCGCACCCCTCCCCGCAGCGCCGCCTTCGCCGATGCTGGGTGCTGAGTGCCCGAAGCCCTGCAAGGGGAAATGGCCAACGCCGCCCTTCGACCCGCGCTTCCCCAACCAGAACCAGACCCGCAACTGCTACCAAAACTTCCTGGGTAAGATCTCTCGGGCCAGGTCAGGGACGGCGGGTGAGAAAAGGTGCGAGGCGGGAAGGGGCGCGCCCCGCCGGAGGACGCGGAGACCGTTGGGGTGGAGGGGGAACCGGCGACGGCAGGTGAGGCGGGGCCTCGTTAAAGGGGCGTGGCCTCGTTTAAAAGGGGCGGGATCGTTCCGTGGAGGGGCGGGGCGAGGGAAGAGCGGGTCCTCCAGGTTGGGCTGGGACTGAATCTCGGAAGGGGCGGGGCCTACCAGGTAGGGGCGTGACCTTATTTAAAAGGGGCGGGATCGTCCCGTGGAAGGGCGGGGCGAGGGAGGAGCGGAGCCTTGCCTGGAAGAGGAAGGTCCGAGTCGTGGAGGGGGCGGAGGTTAGGGGAGGTGGGCGGGGTCTGGGAGGGCGGAGCGGGGCCTTCCAGGTTGGGCTGGGACTGAATCTCGGAGGGGGCGGGGCCTATCCTGGAGGCGTGTGACAGAGTCCTGGAAGGGTGGGAAGAGAGGATAGGCGGGGCCTTGCGGGGAGGAGGCGAGGCTGGCCCTCTCGGAGGGCGTGGCTACGAGGGGCGGGGAGAGTGCGGGCCCGGCGGGAGGGCGGGGCCTCCTGTGGGGACGGGACTACCCACCTGCTCGCCCCGCCCCACCCGGCCCCGCCCCCATCGGCAGACTACCATCGCTGCATCAAGACCATGAACCGCCGAGGGAAGAGCACACAGCCCTGCGAGTACTACTTCCGCGTGTACCACTCGCTGTGCCCCATCAGCTGGGTGAGCGGACAGAGGGCCGCGCGGACAGGCCGGGAGAGGGTGGATGGGTCGGCTGAGTTAGGACGGCGCCGACTCCCCTCTTCCCCACCCCCAGGTGCAGCGCTGGAAAGAGCAGATCAAGGACGGGACTTTCGCTGGGAAAATCTAACGGTCTGAGCGCGGCTTCTCCTCCTAAGAATTAGCCCCAGTGATATTCCCCGCCCCATCTTCTCGTCTCCCGGAAAATGGGCCCCACTGCCCCAAACCTCACCCTCCTCCGCCCCGTCTTTAAGCCTCATATAAAGCGGTGTTACTGCTGGTATTTCTCTTTAATGTCTTGTCGGTAAGGATAGGGGGCATCGTGAGGCCCTTCCTCTACCCTGCCGCCGACACTACTGGTTCCAGTCGTGGGAGGGGTGAGGGAGCCCCGCCAGTCCCCTTCCCAGCTCCCCCCCCCCCGCCCAGCCCCGCCCCGCTCCAGTAGGGTCTGCCTTGGCTCTTTGAGTCCCAGCGCTCGTCCGCCAGGATGGCTCCAGGCTCCTTCTGCCTCTCAGTCCCCCACCTGTCACTCAAGTCCCTCAGGGTCCTCTTCCCTTCCTGGACCACCAGTCCCACCCCCTCCATCTCATCTCAGGTACAGAGGAGCAATGTGTATACCACCCAGCACTGACCCTGTCATCCCTCCCTGCTCCAGACCATTCCTGGCTCTTTCCTTTCCCTCGCCCCCATCCCCTTTGACTCCCCTCCCCTCCCGGCACATCCCTGAACCCATCACTTGGGCCTCTCCCAACAGGGTGCCCCGCCTGGCCCCCTCGGTCTTCTCAGCACCTGTCCATGGCCAGGAGCAGCCTTGTCTGCTCAAACACATGTCACTTCAGTTTCTCCTGCCAGCTTCTCCCTGTGAGCTCCTCCAGGACACTTGGAGCTCCAGGCTGAATTATTCTTTGCTCCCACCCCACTCTGGCTCTGAGCCTGCCCTCAGCCAAGCTCAGGCACAACAATGCTGAGGTTCATCCTGATTCCAGATGCTTCTCAAAATGTCACCTTTCTGGCCACCTCCATCACCACCACCATTGCCCTGAGTCAGGCTGAGTGACCCTCGACAGAACCTGGAGCCTGGGGCTTCTAGCCCGGTCCTACCCTAGATGGGCATGGGTGGGGGGGTGGGGGTAGATTTGACTGTTTCCTCCTGAAGCTGTCAGCCTCTTGGGGCAGCCTGGACCCCCAGACTCTGCCTGTAGTGATCTCATAGGGTCCCCATTCAACCCTAGGGTTCAAAGGTGGCTATTACTAATCTTATGATGATTTCCTGGGTGGCCCCGGACAAGCCTCCTGACCTGCATCACCTCAGTTTCTCCAGCTGTGCAGAGAGATGCTGCAAATCCCATTATCAGGAGAGGTGGGATGACGGGAGGGGCTAGGTGAGATGGGGGGAGAACAGCAGCTTCCACTCCTCCCCCCACCTCTCTACACTGCCCTCATCGCCCCCTCCCCCAGGGCACACCCCAACGTGCCATTTCCCACGATGGCTCCACCGAAACCTTGGCCCCAGGCTCCCGCTCTCAGACCACAACCTGCAAGGCACCCGGGCAAATGAGGGCACAGGGTGTGGACTCAGACAGACAGACAGGCTGGAAGCTATGGCAGGGGGTGGGGGGGCGGTGTGAGGCATTCTCGCGACCTCCCCTGACCTGCAGACCTCTGGCCCGCACAGAGGTGGCGCTGCTGCAGGGAAGAAAGCAAGCCGCGATGCCACGCGGGCAAGGCAGCTCTGAGTCACAGCACGGACCAGAGGCGGTCTGAGCACTCGCTGAAGTCACCCAGGTAGTGCCAAGCACAGGGTCTGACACCTGTGCGGCCTCGGCTGGCCTCCCGACCTCCACAGGCGCCAGTGCCGCCGCAGCCCCTCCCAGTTCCCCCTTCTTCCCCTCTGGGGCCAGCATTCCAGCCCCATCCCTCCAACACCTCTGGGACATTCTGACTCGCCCAGCCTCCCGGCTGGCCACCTCTGTCCCCTGGATGCCTGAGCCCAGGGCAGGGCCAGACCCACCTCACCTCCAGCCAGCGGACCAACATTCTCAGGCCCCAAACTCTGGCTGTGAACACGTCCTCCACCACTCCCGGGTCAGCGTTGCCTGGCTGCATCCTGAAACCCCCAGGTCAGCCTCCCAGGACAAAGGAAACAGAGGCTTCTGGTGTCTCCCATCCCCCACCCCTCCCCTCACCTGCATCCCCGCCCCCCTCCTCTCCGTCGTCACCCTCTTCCAGCCTCCTCTCATCACCACCACCCTCTTCCCTGCCCTCTGCAGCTCCCGCCTCCCCTGACAGGTTCAGGATCACAGAATCACAAAGCCTTTTGCTCCCTGAGCCCTCCTGGCGCTGTGCTCTCTGTCCACCCACCACACCATCCCATGGAAGCCACTGCTGAACCGAGCCCTGGGCCTCCCGTGGGCACAGAGCCAGCCTCCCTTCTGGTACCTGCCTCTTTCCCAAAGACCTCAGAGCCTGGATGAGCTCTGAACATGGGTTCAAGTTCCGGCCCTGAAGCCTGCCAGCCCTGTGGCCCCAGACAGACTCCCTAAGACCTCTGGGCTGGGGCCTTCTCACCCAGATCACAGTGGTGATCTCACCTACACTTTCCAGGGCCGTGGGTAGGATGATGCCGTGTGACCAGCCAGAACAGTGTCCAGCCCAGCTGCTCTCAGGGGGTGTGCGATCTCCGTCTGTTAGACAACCTGAGGCATGTCGGTCCAGTTCTGGGGCCCAGTATCACACCAGGTGGTGGGGTGACTGTCAGTTGCCCTCCCAATCGGCAAGCCCACGATGACCAAACCCACCAACAGGGCCCTGGAGCTCCTGGTGTGTGCTGTCGCCTCAGTCGTGTCCGACTCTTTGCGACCCCATGGACTGTGGCCTGCCAGGCTCCTCTGCCCATGGGCTTCTCCAGGCAAGACTACTGGGGTGGGTTGCCATGCCCTCCTCCAGGGGGATGTTCCCGACCCAGCCAGTGATGGAACCCATTTCACCTGCATTGGCAGGCGGGTTCTGGGTTCTTCACCACTAGCGCCACCTGGGAGCTCCTGGAGGCTGAGGGTAAAAGGGTCAGAGAGCGCCCTCAAGGGGAGAAATGGGAGCCAGGCCTGAGTGTCCTGCCTGGCTTTCCCTGCTGTCTCAGGCACAGCGTGCGGCACTTTCTGAGACTCTGGGCTGGAATTACTTCCCATTTCTTTCGGCTTTCTGCTTCTCCTTCTCCTCTGGCCCAGCCTTCCCGTTTCCTTGCTCTGGCCCCCTGGTCCATGATGGGGTTCTCAGCCTGAGCCTCGACCCTCCGGCCCTCCGCCGGGGCTTGCCCAGACCCAGCTCCATGTCGACACCCCTCACAGGACTCGACAAGGATGCCTCTCAGCTCCCTGTTGAGGCTGGGGCTCTCTCTGCCTGGCAGTGCACGGTGGGCTCGGCGCAGTACCAGCTCTGCGGCCTCAGGCAGATGCGCCTGCCCTGCAGGACCATCTGCAGAGGTGCGCGGCCATCTTGGCAGCTCGGCTGTGGAGGCAGATGCGAGGGTGCCTGGGGCCATGATGGCGACGGTTGTACTACCCAGAGGACCTGCTTCCCCATCATTTTGTCACTCTGGCCCACAGGTCTCGCCGAGGCTGGGTTTGGCCCCCAGGGGTACATTTGGCAAGGACCACAGATATTTTTGTGTCCTCTGCCATGGAGGGGGTGCTACTGGCATCTCTGGGTGGAGGATGGAGAGGCCAGTCCTCGTCCCGAGACACAGGACGGGCAGCTCAAGGCGGCAGCAGTGCTGAGGATAAGAGACCCAGATCGCTGGCTCCTCATCTCCGTTGCTTTCAGGTCCAGTCGCTTTTGAGGGTTGGATGAAGGCCCTCAGCCCTCTGGGCTCAGAACGCGCATGTGCATGTGCAGTTACTACATGGGAAATGGGGTTCCAGGAGGCCCTCAGACCCTCCAGCATCCATCCAGGCTAAGACTTGCTCGGTCGTCACATTTGTCTAGAAGGCATGGACTTCTGCTTGTTTAGAGGAACGGGTTCCTTAGTGGCTGTGCCGGCCGTCTCTCTTCACCCTCCTCACTGCCACTTGCTGACTGGGAGGTCCTCTCCCACCTCAGGGAGAAAGTTAACAGGGTTCAGTAGGACTCGCATGGAACAAAGACACACTTCCTCGTTCTCAAAGGAATCAAACAGGCTACACATAAATGGTCTTTCCTGGTGGCTCAGATGGTAGTCTGCCTGCAATGCAGAGGACCTGGATACTATCCCTGGGTCAGGAAGATCCCCCGGAGAAGGGAATGGCAGCCCACTCCAGTATTCTTGCCTGGAGAATTCCAGGGACAGAGGAGCCTGATGGGCCACAGCCCATGGGGTCACAAAGACTCAGACACAACTGAGCGACTTTCACTTCAAACTTCATACATACATGAAACATTTTTAAGTTAAAAAGAATAGTTACCTGCTGTGAACTGGCCACCCCGTTGGCCCACCCGGGTCTTCCGACAGTCCCCTCAGGCCCTCCACGTTCCTCACCAACACAGCCTGGTCTTGTCAGCCTCCAGCGTAAACTTTGCCATGGTTGTCATGGAGGAGATAAACCAGGGCCTGCAGCCCACACCCGACCACGACACTTGTGATATGCTCATGAGGCCTCAATGAACAAAAAGAAAAATGTCCACAAGACACTTTGCAGGGGGTTGGGGGGGCGCCCGGTATTAGGAAGCGCCAATTGTCAGCTGTATTTCTGTAGAAGGCAATGGCAACCCACTCCAGTACTCTTGCCTGTAAAATCCCATGGACATGGACGGAGGAGCCTGGTAGGCTACAGTCCATGGGGTTGAGACAAGTCGAACACAACTGAGTGACTTCCCTTTCACTTGTCACTTTCATGCATTGGAGAAGGAAATGGCAATCCACTCCGGTGTTCTTGCCTGGAGAATCCCAGGGACAGAGAAGCCTGGTGGGCTGCCGTCTATGGGGTTGCACAGAGTCGGACATGACTGACTCAACTTAGCAGCAGTATTTTTGTTTTAATTTTTATTTTTTTAGCAGCAGTATTTCTGTAAAAGGGGGTTGAGGGGAGGATTAAGAGGCGGTGGGAGGAGTTCTCTGGTGGTCCAGGGGTTAGGATTCTGGGCTTTCACCACCATGGCCCCAGGTTCAATCCCTGGTCAGGGAACTGAAAACAGAACTGGATCTCAAGAAATGAGACGATTCACTGTCCTGGCCTCATGGAGCTAGGCCAACCCAGGTGACACACATGAGGGACTCAGACTTCAGACAAGGGTGATCTGGCCCCATGTGACCCAGGGTGAGTCACTCTAATTGCTGGACCTCAGTGATCTCATCTAGAAAATGGGCAGACTCCCCTCCTGCATGAGACAATGGGTCTGGAAGCATTCTTCATGAGCACAGTTGGTGTGGTAGTGTGATTCTTGCCTCTGTACCTGGTCATCCTCAGAGTCCACAGTCCTTTCACCCTCCTAAGCTTTATAGGGCCCAAAGTCTTGGCTGCCTCGTCCCAGTCTGGTCTCCCCAGCAAGGCATAGGGTCTCACCCTCCCAACGGACATCTCTTCAGAACATAAGTCAAAATGAAATGCTTCCAGGAGCACTGCTTATAACAACGTTTTAATAAAATAAAATAAAAAGTTCAAGTGCTTCCAACCCCCCAACATATCCCATTCTGGTGTGGGGGAGGGGAGAGACCCCCCACACCCCAGTAGCACCAGGGATAGCACCATGAGAAAGATGAGGTCGCACCCGGCCTCCCTGAGACCCACGGGGGTGGTGGGGATGAGCCCCTGGCCAACCCCCCTCGCCCCCCACTCAGACAGTCACAGGCTGAGAGCAAGCTGACCCCTCCCCCACAGGGCAGTGTCTAGGGAGGCCACTCCAGCCAGCCCCACCTCCCCCAGGCCTGCAGGTGGCCCGCCCCTATGGCTTTGCTCCCCGAGCAGGAGAAGGAGGTGGGCAAGGAATGGCTCCTTCAGCCCTGGAGCCGGGGCTGTGGTCGGGGGGTGGGGGGTGGGCGGCAGTGGCCAGGGCTCCCTGCCAGGGTAGGGGTGGCTCAGGGGTCAGCAGTCACAAAAGGTCAGGGGTCAGATCCCTGGGGGTGTCCAAGTCAACCTGCCCCCAGGTCAAAGCTGTGCTGGAGTCGAAGGTCAACTCCTTCCCAGAGGTCCAAGAGCTCCTTCTGGAGGTGGCTCCCAGAGAAGCTGGGCAGGAAGGGACCAAGGAAGGACACCCTGCTCTCCCAGCCCAGGCCTCCCTGTCCAGCCCGTCACGGCCCATCACTGTTGACATCCAGGTCAATGGAGCCATGGCTGACCACCAGCCGCAGGCGCTTGGGTGGGGAGAAGGGGGTGAAGGCCAGGGCCTGCTTGGGGACAGAGGTGGGGCCGGGGGTCCTAGCAGGGGCGGCGCTGGCAGTGGGAGGCAGGGCTGGCAGCACGCGGCTCAGACCCACACGGACCACAGAAGGCAGCCCGTAGCGCCGGGCCCAGTGCCAGTCCTGCTGGGGGGCCCAGCGGGCGCGGGGGGCCTGACCCAGGGCCACCTGGGCCTCCGCCCGCAGGCAGCAGTGGGGGCCGCAGCCTCCCCACCGGTGCAGGGAGACGCGGGCAGCTCGGAGAATGGGAGGTGGCGGGGCTCGCCGGGGCTGCAGGCGGCGGCGCCTCCGGGGACGCACACGGAGCTGGGGCTGAGGCAGCCAGTGGAGCCAGAGGGGCGAGGCGTCTACGCGGGCGCTGCAGGGCGGGGGGCGCAGGGGCTGGCAGGCGGCTGTGGAGGCCCGGGTGGGGGGGCGCAGGGAGGAAAGGGCGGCTGCATGAGCAAGACTCTCGCAAGGGCAAAGCTCCTGCTCAGGCCGCCTCCTCCAAGGCTCTTCCTGGTCATCAGAGGGGACAGACCCAGGGAGTGACGTGGGAGGAGGGACGAGACAGGAGGAGGGCAAAGACGGGGCAGGGGATGGGCCCGCGGGACAGCGCCCACCCTGTGCTCACCGCAGAAGGGGTCCCGGCGCCACGGGGGTGGGTGGGCACAGGACCGGGGCCTGTCCAGACCTTGCTGCAACCGCCGCTTGGTCTCCCGGAGCTCGTACTTGTCCAGCGGCCGGGGCGGCAGGGGTTCCCTGGGCCGCAGTCGGAAAGCGCCCTCGCCTCTCCTGGGGGTGGGAGGGCGGTGAGGAGGGAGGGCTGGGCCTCCGAGGATGCGCTTCCGGCTCCCAGCCCCACGGACCACAGCCCACCTCTCGCAGGTGTAGCATTCACAGTGCTCGTTCTTCTCGCCGAAGAAGCCTTCACCGTAGAAACAGGTCACCTCGTCCCCCGGCTCGATGTCCCGGAGCACCTTCACGCAGGCTGCGTTTCCATCTGCAGGCACAAACTGGGGGCCGGAGGCTCAGCGCCCCGCCCTGGGGGTGGCCTGGCTCTCTGCCCCCACCGCCTGGCCTGGCCTGGGCCCCTGGCCTCACGGCCCACCCCTGGGATGGGCAGGGGCCGAGCCCCGGGACGCGCCCTGCCCAGGGCCTGCCCTCAGCACTGGCTCCCTGGTCCCCCCACTGCTTTGCCGGCTCCCGCCCTCACTGCAGGACGATGACCTAACCGGGCCTGGCAACGCACAGGAACCGCTCCCTCCGGCCCATCCCCTGGCTCCTCGGGTGGCCGGGCCCCGCACCGCCTGCTTCTGCCACCTCCCCTTCTCCAGGCCTGGGTCCACCCCCAGCCTCAGCCCAGGATCACCACCCCCCTCGCCTGCCTCTAGGTTCCTCCTCTGGAAGAGGGGGGACTCCCACCCACCCCTGTCCATCTGTCCACTCATCTGTCTGTCCCAGCCTGACACACACCTGGGAGTGGCCCTGGCCACTGGTCTGCCTGATGCCAGGAGAGCTGGCTGGCGTCTCCCGAGCAGGCAATGCCAGGTGTCTGCATTCCCTCCATGCCTAAGACCCCTCTGGAGCCGGCCTCTCAGGGCCTCCCTGCCCTGGGCTACCCACAAGCCTCGGCCTGTACCCCACCTCCACGCCAACCCCCGGCACCCCACGGGAGCCGCCATGGGGTGACCAAGCTCACACACGAGGGGAGCCCCCGTGCCACGACCTCCCAGCACCCCCAGCCTGGCGCCCCATCTGAGATGCCCTAGCGTGCGCCCCTTTGCCCTCAACACCTGGGAAAACTCTACTCCTCTAGCTCCTGGCCCTGACCGGCACAGCCTTGGCTCTGCACCACGAGGCGGCCGGTGCCCCCCTCACCAAGCCCTGCCTCCTCCCCCTCCCACCCACTGTCTGTGCCCCAAAGCCCAGAGGACACTGCCACACGCCGGACTTCACAGCTGCGCCAGCAGGCAAGTTCCTGCCCTTTCCCGTCTGAGAGGACAAACCAGGGCCCAGGCGGGGGAGCCAGGACTCCAACTCCCTCGTGTGGGGGGCTCTGAAGGACGGCCAAGGCCAGGGAGGCCCACACTTTCAGGGCGCACGCCCAAGGCCTAGCTGGGCGTCACTCCTCCCTCCCACGCACTCCGTCCTCCACACACAGAAGAGGGGGGCCTCCTTCTGCCTCCCAGGGCCTCCTATCAGCAGAAGCCCTGGATCTCCAGGGCAGGGCTCTCTCTGACCTCACTCCCGAGGCCTCCTCCGCCTCCTGCTATCATCACAGCTGCAGGGGCTTCTGCCTGGGAGGCCAGACAGGGGTACTTCGGGTCTGCCCACCACCACCACCACCCTCCCCCTCAACTGGCCCCGCCCCCAACCAAGGTTCGGAAAGCGGGCACTGCAGCCAGCAGGTGACAGTGTGACTGGGTCCCAGTGTGGTGTGACTCTACCAGAGTCCCCTCCTACCTCCCGGCACGGGGAAGGACAGGTGGGAAGCTGCATGGTCAGGTGGGGAGACCCCGGACAGTTTCTAGCTCTTTACTGACCCGAAAGCCCCTCCCCACGTGCCCATTCCTCCCCGGATGTGGGGACCCCCAGGTCTCACCTTGCAGTTGGGTTTGCAGTCTGGAACCAGTTGTGGGTGTGCAGGGGAGAGAAGAGACCTCAGGTCAGAGGAGCCAGAAAGCTGGGGCACGCCCCTCCCCCACCCCACCCCCCACCCCTGTGCCGGCCCCTTGCCCCGCCCCCACCGTGGTTGATGAAGGCGGCCGGGCCAAGCCACAGCTGAGCGCTGCGCTTGCGGGTCGAGTACATGATGCTGAAGTCGTTCTCCCCAGCCCTCAGTAGCTCCTCGTCGGCCTCCCGCAGCTCGGCGATGCAGCCCACCAGCAACTCCAGCTTCTCGTTCTTTTTCCTGCCAAGAAGCCACTCAATGTGGGTCTGTGAGTACCTCCCCAAGCATCAGCGCTGGGGACAGGGGCCTCTCATCCCAGGCCTCCTGTGGGAAGAGCTGATACGGGCCAGCGTGCTCCTCTGCCCAAATGTCTCTGAAAGTCACACTGCTGCCCTACACCCACAGATGCCTGGCACGCATCCTCTCCTGCTCTGGGCTCCTCTGGCACCCACTGCCTCAGCTTTCCTCGTTCCAGTCCTGCCTGGAAGCCCCCCGCCTCCAGGCAGCCCAGGCTCTTCACTAGACCCTTTAGTCATTATGAGGGTCTCAGCCTAGGACTGGCCCCCAAGTACACACTCAAAATTCCCAGGCAGGCTCAGGAAGCACTGCGCAGCTGTGGTCAGCCCTGCGAGCTTGCACCACTACCAGCCCCCTTCTCACTAGACTGTGAGCAGAGGGCAGGGCTCTTCTTGCTCACTGGGCTGCTCTTGTACCTAGCAGTGATTGCTACTTGTTGGTGGCGGGGGGGTCTGGTAGGGATGAGAAAAAGGACAGCAGTGCACTCTTGGGCGCAAGGTCAGATCTTTCCCAGCAGTCCCAGGAAGCCTGGGTCGCTGGAGGGGGTTTCATCTCCCGCAGGGCTGTGGTAGGCCAGGGAGGTCCTGGGGGCCAGGCCCCGCCTTCTTTCTCTCAACACAGACATCTTCGTGGCCCTGTCGCCTCAGTGCATGGTCTCCTCCACAAGGGCAGGGGTGTCTTCTCCCAGCGGTCCCCGGGGAGAGATGCCTCCTGTCAGGCCTGGGCTGCAAGTCCTGCCCTCTTACCATGCGCGAGTTGACACAATCTTGGCTCCGTTTGTCTCCATGGAATAACGGGTACAGGGCAAGATGGTGAAGCCACTTTCAGGCAGGAAGGCGCGGAGGTAGCGATAGATCTGGGGGAGGTGAGGGGGTGGGTGGGGTGAGGAGCTGGGGCAGGGTTGTCCTTGGCCCTCTCTCTCCTGGGTTCTAGTCCTGCTCTGCCACTGACTTACTGTGTGGTCTCAGGGGGCTCACTTCCCCTGTCGGGGCCTCAGTTTCCTCATCTGTCAAATGAAGAGGTTAGACTCCATCTCAGAGGGCCCCCCAACGCACCTGTCCTAGGAGTCTGAGCCTTGCTTTAGATGGTCCCAATGGATAGGAAGTCAGGGGGTCCTGGGGGGCTGCGCTGAGGGTCTGCCCGACAGGGCAGAGGGCCTGGGACAGGTGGGGGAGACAGGAGAACATGAGGGTCAAGGGGAGGAAAGGGAAGGGCTCCCTCACGTGGGTCTTGAGGGCAGCCTCCTGCCGTGGGCCCCGGCTCTGGAAGTAGTGGGCCATCCAGCCTCCCAGCGTCAGGGCCCGGTACGCAGCCTCCAGGTCCCGCTGCCTCAGGAAGGCCTCCAGAGCTGAGCGCAGGTGGTGCTGTCGTCGCAGGGGGGGCACGGGGCTGGGGGAGAGGGCATGCCTGGGTCCCAGGGCCTTGGTCTATTCCCTGTGGGCCTTCCCAGGCCCCACCCCACCCCCGCTGGGAGCTGAGAAGAGGATGGGGCAGAGGGGTGGTGGTGGCAGGGCAGGGGTCCCAAGATCCCTGGGTCCACCCTCCCCGGGGTCGCCTCACCTGACGTTCATCTTGTGGGTGCGGAAGCCGAGGTAGGGGTCCAGGACGAGGCTGGTGGCCAGGTCGTCGTTCTCACACAGCTCTCTGGCCGTTACTCTGTCGGGCCCCATGGTGCCCCACGCACCATGCTGTCTCTGGCAGCGGTGGCAGGGGGTGGGGAGCACGGGGCAGGGGGCACGATGCTGGGATCCTGCGTGTGTGCTTGCTCTGTGCCACTTGAGAGCCCTGTGAGCCTGGGGCGGGCCCTCTGGCCTCCTCATCTATAAAGCGGGGAGAAAGGCCGTACTGACTTCGCAGGGCTCTCAGTGAAGGCGAAATGCAACAAGTGCTTCTGACACTGGGGAGACGCCCCCAGAAATACCAGCCACCACCCTTAGTAGTCGCACCTCTGCAGCCTCCTGAGCACAGACATAAACCCTCCAACCACTTATGACAACTCCCCCCTCGCCCACACACACACATTCACAGACCCCGTGTGTGCACGCAGATTTCCTAGGACTCCCACATACATGTACACACGCGCGCAGGCACGCAAAGGTCCCTACAGACCAGGGAAGGCTGATTAACTGGCAGTCTGGGATAACCCTGAAGGCTTGGTCCTGCAGGAGGTGGGAGTCAGGGGGCCCCGGGCAGCAGCTCCTGCCCCGCCAGAACCGCTAGTTCCTCAGCCCACCCCCGCTCTCCCTGCCTCGGCCGCCACCCGCCTCCCCAAGAGCCCTAGGGAGCCCTCCTCCAAAGGCTCGGGGTGAAACCTCAGGCAGTCAGGAGGAGGGGGGGTGGTGAGGGGAGGGAGAGCCGAGGAAGGCTCCAGCACCTGCTCTCTCTCCAAGGATTCAGGGGGAGGGGCGCAGAGGACAAAGCGCGGGGAGGGGGGAGAGAAAAAGAACGTGTGGAGAGGCAGAGGAGGCCCAGAAAAAACACAGGAGAAGGACGGCGACCAGCAAAACGAAAACAAAACAAGCCTCCTAACCCCGATGGCGGAGGCCTGCCCGGCACCCACACCAGGGTGCTTCAGGGAGTTGACGAGGGACTGCGAGGAAGGGGAGCTGGAGAGAGGCCAGGAGCTACAGCGGCTGGGAAAGGGGGCAGAGGAGACCCGAAGGCTCAGGAAAAATAAAGAGGGGGCGCTGCGAGACGGCGCTGGGACGGAACTGAAGCTGCAGAGGGGCAAGGGGGTAAAGGCAAAATGCGGACACAACAGGGAGGGAGCCAGCGCAGGGAGAAGGCCCGGGCTGCCCGCGGGGGAGGGCGGTGGGAAGGCTTGGGGACCCAGCGAGGACCCCAGGAAAAGCCAGCAGGAAGACCAGGGCTCCATCGAAAGCAGAGAAGTACCTGGAGGTCCAGGGAGGGTCTTGGGAAGGTAGAGGGGGGCAGCCCAGGGGTTCCACAACGGGGTTGGAGAAGCAAACGGGGCCAAGGGGAGTCCTGGGGCTCCAGGAAGGAACCCTGAGCCGCGAGGAGCGCGCCCAGGCTCCAGGGTAGAGCCTGGGTAGGCAGTGAGAACGCAGGTTAAAGGCCTGAGGTGCTGAGGGAAACTGGGGGGAGCAGACACGGGCCTGGGCAGGACCTTGGGGGGGGTGGTTTCCAGGGGCCTGGGCAGGCGGCGAGAGTGCAGGGGACGCGCCTGAGAGCCAAGGACGGGAGTGCAGAGTCAGAGGGCGAGCTGAGGGTCCAGGGAAGGGCCTGAAGCGCGACAGGGGGGACTGGGGGAGGAAGCACAGGGAAGGGACTGGGCACCGAGAGCAGCGTGAGGCTCGCCGAAGGGCCAGGAGACGTGGGCGCCTGGACACGAGGAGGGGCGGGCGGGCCGGGGGACAGACGGGGCTGGGGACGACCGGGAGCCAAGGCGGCGCGGGGCGGGGGCCGAGAAGGGGCTCAGAGGTCGGGCCCCGCGCCGCCCCTCACCCGCTTCTCCTCCTCCTCCTCCTCCTCCTCAGGCGCCCGCGCCGCGGCTGCCACCACCTCCCACAGCCTCCTCCAGCTCTCGTCAGACCGGGTCGCCGCGCCTCCAGTTAGCCCCGCCGGGCCCGCCCTGCCGCGGCCACTACGGCCTCCCATTGGCCAACGTCTCCGCCACTCTTCAATTGCCGAGTAGCTTGCGCCGCCCCCATTGGTTAGGCTCCGTTATGCCCCGCCCCTATCGCCCCCCTTCGGTGCCCCTACAGAACCCCGCCACACCCGCGCTGCCGTCAAAGCGCAGCCAAGTGCACCTAGTGGCTGCCGCCGCTGTCCTTCCGCCGCTGCCATGGAGACGTATCCCCGCCCACGGCCAGAAGTTGACACCCTCATTGGCCGAAAGCTCTGTCGCTCCGGGCGAAACTCGGGTTTGGGTCGGGTTATTTGGGTACAAGAAGAGAGAGGGAGGGTTCCGTCGGCTACAGAGCCCGCGTGTAATTGGTTAGCCTTGGAGCGACTCATGCTCCCATTGGCTAAGGTCTCCGCCTGTCACCGTTAGGGTCACGCCCTCCCTGTTCTATTTCTCTGGCTAAACCTTCGGCCACCAGAGGGAGAAAGCAGGAAAGCCACGGCCGACGAGCGGGGGTGAATGCGCGCGCACTTCTGTTCTCTCTTTCCATCCCCCCTACCCCCAACTCGACTGGACCTGCGGTTGCCAAGGCGACAAAACTTTATTGACAACCCTGCAGGGTACAAAGGGCTTTTCCTTTCCTTCCCCACTCTAGATCATCTTCTCGTCCCCCAAAAAACCCTGTTTAATTTTGAGTACCCCCACTCTGTGGGTGAATCGGTCAGAAAGACGGAAGTAGGGGCTTAGGAGAAAGCCGTGACTCATGAGGTGCTCTCATGGGGCACCCCCCGATGCCCCCAATAGGGATCACTCTCCTGCTACAATCCTAGAGGCAAACATAATTAGCAATTCATCATAATTACGCTCAGAATAATAAGCCCCACACTTGGAGCAGGCGGTCTTTGTTTTGTTGACTGCTAAATATCCTGTGCTCTTGGAACAATGCGTAGCATGGAATACGTGCTTCGTTAATTTGTGCTGAAGGAATGAATGTATGAAGCTGGTTTCTGCAAACAGTCCTTCTGTGACTGTGGAAAAGTGGCTTGCTCTCTACGGGCCTCGGACTCACATCTATAAAATGAGAACCCCTCTTTGAGAGATCTTCCTGAACACCCTCCTCGGGGTCTTTCATCTGCGCTTCCACGCTCTCACCCTCTGTTCTTACTGTCCCTTCCCCAACTAGGACTTAAGCTCAGATCTGAGACACCCCCAACCTGGGCACATTTCCCCCACCCACTTCCACCAAGGATGGCTCAGACAGTAAAAGAATTCTCCTGCAATGAGGGAGACCTGGGTTTGATCCCTGGTTTGGGAAGATCCCCTGGAGAATCCCCACTCCAGTATTTTTGCCTGTAGAATCCTCAGGGACAGAGGAGCCTGGCGGGCTACAGTACATGGGGTCGCGAAGAGTCGGACACGACTGAGCGACTAAGCACTGCCTCAAGCATCTTCACGTAGGGGAGCGCTATACAGCAGTGAAAGCGGGTGATTCAGCACTTGGTATATCAGCCTTGACAATCCCAAAGCATGCTGCTAGTTGCAGAAGTTTACAGAGTCGAATGCATACGGTTAAAGAGAAAAAAAGAAAAAAAAGAAACAGGAGTTATGTGTGGACAGGTAATAAAACGCAAACTTGCCTGGGTATGACATGGGGTTGGGGTGGGGGTGCCCTAGTGGCGACCCCTGGGGGAGAGCGGAAGGAATGCAGTCAGAAAAGCTACTCAGGACATCCTTACCTGCAATTATTTTTTCTAAGCCTGCAGGTGGAAGCCGTGAATTCACTATATTCCCTGTTTTTTCTACATGTCAGAGATATTTCATAATGCAAATAAAATTTTGACCCATCAATGCCACTTCTGGGGTTTAATGCTAAAGAAATAATGGGACATGTGTTACATGTATTTAAAGATGTTTGTCTCAGCATTTGTTGAAAAAGCAGAAAAATAGGAAAAACCATAATGTCCAACTGTAGGAGATTGGTCTGACTGATTACAGCATACCCCTAAGATGGAAAAACAGCTGTACCTAATAGTTAACTGAGCTCTTAACACATGCCAGTCACTTTGCAAATAGTCCTATGCTTGTGAGCTAAGTCTCTTCAGTCGTGTCCGACTCTGTGAGGGATGGGCTATTACCCCATTTTACAGATGAGCAAACTGAGGCTTTCCAAGGGGATGTAACTGACCATCAAATCATAGAGCTTGTACTCTCAGCCCCTACTGCTACATTGTCCAGATAGGATCCAGTTTGTTCTCCACCCACAGATGACATAAGAGACACCTTGGGAAAAGAATAAATCACTGACACATGCTACAACTCGGATGAACCTTAAAAGCATCATACTGGGTAAAAGGAGCCAGACACAAAAAAATCACATATGGGGTGATTCGATTTCTATGAAATATCCAGAATAGACAGAAAGAGAGACAGAAAGCAGATTTGGGGAATTCCCTGGCAGTCCAGTAGTTAGGACTCTGTGCTTCCACTGCAGAGAGCACAGGTTCAATTCCTGGCTAGGGAACTAAGATCCCGAATGTCACATCGCAGCAAAACAACCAAACAAACAAGACCCCCAAACGGATCCACGACTGCCCCCAGCTGGGGAAGAGGAGAATAGGGAGGGACTGATATAGGATGTGGGGTTTCCTTTTTCGGATGAAGAAGTTCTGGAACTGGAGAGCAGTGATGGTTGCCAAGTGCCATGCATGTGCATAATGCCTTTGAATTGCATAATTTCAAATAGTTAAAATGGGGCTTCTTGGGGGCCCAGGGGTTAAGACTCTGCCTTGTAATGCAGGGGACATCGGTTTGATCCCCGATCCGGGAAGATCCCACATGCTGCGGGGCAACTAAGCCCAAGCACCATAACTACTAAGACGGCTGTGGAGTCTGAGAGCCGCAACTACCGAAGCCCGCTCGACTAGAGCCGGTGCTCCACAACAAAAAAGTCACCGCAGCGAGAAAATCTGCACAGAAGAGTGGCCCCCGCTCTCAGGCAACTAGAGAAGAGCCTGCACGGCTAAAAATAAATAAATATTTTCTACAAAACAAAATGGTTAAAATGGCAAATTTGACATTACATAT